TGTGACAATATGATTCCATTGCTCCCTGAGGCAGGTGTGTTTCTCCCCATTCAGTGATCCGTCTATGATTTCTTTCTCTAATAATTCTGTGACAGTGCACAGGGAGACAGCAAATTCCTTAGGGCATCAAGTGCTTTGTGTTCCAGAAAAGTTTGGAGTTAACTCAGCATGGGATCAGTCATGAGTAATGACACACAAAGTAAGCTTCAAAGCTAGTACTTTGGCAAAATAACCTGCCCAAGCTTTAAAGACCTGAACATAAGCTAGAGTGAGTAATGAATCAAGAACTGAGTAAATGCCAATAAGATCAAACGTGAACTCATGTCCTCTCAGGGTGTTTTGGTTAGAAATTGTGTGTGTGTGTGTGTGTGTGTGTGTGTGTGTGTGTATCCCCGCGCGTACCCGCACGGGTGCGTGTGCGTGCATTTAGTTACCAACAAATCATTCAAGTAAGTTAAGATGGAAACCAGGCCTAAGAAATCTCTGAGCAAAGCCAGTGAGGCCTCCCAAGGGACCTCAACCTTCCTTGATTTGCAGACATAAGTGAAACCTGACTTTAAGTATTTCTTGTAAATGCCTACCCAGTACTACAGCACTTGTTCCTGTAGGCTTATCACACACTGTTATTCTTTTTTTTTTTTTTTTTTTTGAGTTGGAGTTTCACTCTTGTTACCCAGGCTGGAGTGCAATGGCGCGAATCTCGGCTCACCACAACTTCCACCTCCTGGGTTCAGGCAATTCTCCTGCCTCAGCCTCCTGAGTAGCTGGGATTACAGGCAGCGCGCCACCATGCCCAGCTAATTTTTGTATTTTTAGTAGAGACGAGGGTTTCACCATGTTGACCAGGATGGTCTCGATCTCTTGACCTCGTGATCCACCCGCCTCGGCCTCCCAAAGTGCTGGGATTACAGGCGTGAGCCACCGCGCCCCGCCCTGAGTTATTCTTTTTTTGTTGCAATGTCTTGCCACTCCAACCAGACCATAGCTTCTTGGAGATGGGACCATGTTCCTTGTTTGAGTAAATATCCAACACTTGTGACTACATTTACTTGTGAGTAAATGTACTCACAGGTGTTGGAGAAATAGCCTGCCTTTCCTCCTGTTATCCCAGAAGTGGTGTCCTCCTCCCACCCGAAGCCTGTCCTCTTCTCGTCTTCGGATTCCTCCCCTTTCTGCCTCTCGCAGACTCAGTGACATCCATCATCCCCCATCTCTTCTTTTCACGAACTTCAGCTTCTCTTTCTGCCTCAGCCCATGAGCTCAGGGATCTCCCATTTGATTACGAATTCATTCAAAGGCCTCATATCAGACTATAGTTCCATCCTGGGATCCCCCACTGCCACATTTCATGGAGGCCTGGAGGTGTGCCATCCACCACCTCCACCACCTTCCCCCATTCTTCTGCCCATTGCTCTTTGACTTCCATTCCATCACTCCAGTGGAACACACTTCCCCCAAGGGCACCAGTGCCCCTGAGTCACCATAGCCTATGGACACTCTATGTAACTTCTAAGCAGCACTATCTGCTATTGACTGTGAGCTCCTTCTTGAAACACCATTTCTGGTTTCTGGAGAAGGGGTGAGTTGAACAGGCAAGGAGCATCCCACTCTTGCCACCGGCATCTGGATCCCTGGCAGGAGGAACCCCCTCAACCACTGTGGACACTTGAGTTGGCAGGGAGAGCTGCTTAGAGAAGGGGCAGAGGCAGAACTGCCATCAATGTGGAGCCCAGAGAGTTTGTTGCAGGAGCTTCTCTAGTGGATCATGGCCAGGGACACCCATCCCCCTAGGCTCAACTCGCTCCTATAGGAGACTCAAGCGCTAGGAGAACTGTGGGATCTGAACTCTGCATGGTGGTCCATGAGATGGGGCCAGTCTAACCTGAGCACCCCTCAGTCTCCTGGCCTCTCCTGGGGCACCGGCCTGGCCAAGCCTGCTTGCAGTGCAGCCTCAGGTGCCCACAGAGGGTACCTCCTAGGGGCCCACATCATAGCTCCTGTGCTCGCAGGTCACACCTGACCAGCAGAGGGCTCCAGCGGAGTAGCCCCCACAGACACACACCAGCCTGCTCGTGCGCTCCCCACATTGCAGCCTTCCCTGTGCTGCTTTGCTTGCATGAACTCGCCCACAGCCACCCCCCTATATGGCTTTGCCAGAGCATGTGTGTATAGCTAGGCCTGCCCCCCACTAATGACCCACCCCTGTGCCAAGCTACCACCAGCCTGAAACTAGGCATGGAGAATAACGGACCCACATCCACCGTGAGTGGTCACTGTCACCCACAGGAACACACACAGAGGACACACACACTCCTGCACCCACCAGCACCCCACCCACGTGCTAACACCATCACCAGTGCAAACACATGTAAGACACCAGCTAGGGCATCTTCCTCCTGACACCATGCTGCCTCTACCACTGCTGTGAATGAACAACTGCGCAGAGGCCGGCCACCCAGCACACACCAGCACCCCACTGCAGTGGACAAGCACCCCACCAGACCGCCACTGCCACTGCTGCTGGCTTATGCAAATGAGGACAGATTCCACTGCCACCACCCTGTGAAGTGCTTTGGCTGGCATCACCCATCCAAGTATTGTGACCAGCTATCTGGGAGCACCTCCACATCCGCAACACAGTGGATTCCAAACCTCAAGGAGGCAGGGAACAAAGTCAGCCCAGTAAAAGTCCAGAATTAGAGCATGCAGTCCAGAAGTTGGGAGCTGAGCTTTGACCCCCTAAAATCTTCCAGAAACAAAGCCAGTCCACTGAACCCACCTTGTACCACAATCAAACCCCCAGGTCATCAAATAGGATAAAAGAAAAAAGCCACCCAAAGGACAGAACTTCAAAGTCTGAAGGAACGTCGGCCCACACAGATGAGAAAGAATGAGTGCAAGAACCCTGACAACGCAGAAAGCCCGGGTGCCTTCTTCCCGCCAGATGCTTGCATCACCTCTCCAGCAAGAGTTCTGAACTGGGCTGAGATGACTGAAATGGCAGACACAGAATTCAGAATATGAATTGGAATGAAGATCATCGAGATGAAGGAAAATGTTAAAACCCAATCCAAGGATGCTAAGAATCATCATAAAACAATACAGGAGCCAACAGACAAAATAGGCGATATGAGAAAGAATGTAATCAACCTGATAGAGCTGAGAAATACACTACAGGAATTTCATAATGCAATCACAAGTATTAGCAGCACAACAGATGAAGCTGAGGAAAGAATCTCAGAGCTTGAAGACTGGCTTTCTGAAATAAGACAGATAAGAATAAGAATAGAGAATAAAAAGGAATAAACAAACTCTGAGAAATATGGGATTATGTAAAAAGACCAAATCTATGACTCACTGGTGTCCCTGAAAGAGATGAAGAGAATGGAAACAATTTGGAAAACATATTTCAGGATATCACCCGTGAGAACTTCCCCAGCCCAGCTAGGGAGGCCAACAAAAAATTCAGGAAATGCAGAGAACCCTAGTAAGATACTTCACAGGAAGATCATCCCCAAGACACATAATCATCAGATTCTCCAAGACTGAAATGAAAGAAAAAATGTGAAAACCAGCTAGAGAGAAGGGTCAGGTCACCTACAAGGGAAGCCCATCAAACTAACAGTGGACCTCTCAGCAGAAATCCTACAAGCCAGAAGAGATTGGGGGCTTATGCTCAACATGCTTTTTTTCCCCCATGAGTCATAGGGTAGGATCAACATTCTTAAAGAAAAGAAACTCCAATTGAGACTTTCATATCTAGCCAAACTAAACATCACTGGTAAAGGAGAAGAAGATCCTTTGCAGAAAAGCTAATACTGAGGGAATTCATTACCACTAGACCTGCTGTCTCTAGGAATTCTGATTTTATAGATCACATCTGGCATTGCACCAGGTGCAATTTGTGAAAAATGTGAGGAAATATTACTGCTAATTAGGCAAGCTCAATGCTCTTAACAATTGTCAAAAACAAAAATGAACAAACAAAATACTAAACCCCTGTAGCAGTGTTTTCTTATTCATTTCCTCCCTCCATCCCCTCTTCCACAAGATTCCTAAGAACAGCCTGATACATATTCCTCTTCCCTTCCAGATGCAGAATTGGGTGTTCTTCGCCTGGGCTTTTGCCCTGCCCACACCCAGCAGGTGCACAGCTCAAAAAGTGGGAAAAGGAACGCAGGCAACCAAGATGAAGGAGGCAGGAACTCCGCAGCCAGCAAAGAAGAGGCACTGTCTCCCAGCAGGTTAGGCAGCCCTAAGCCATGCGCCGCAGTATGTGGGAGATGAAGGCTCTTCCCCACTTGTGTGTTTCCAAGCAGGGTCATGTTGTGTTAAGGGTATGGGTTGGCAGCCAGGATCTCTGGGTTTGAATCCTGGCTCAGCCACTTACCTGGGATAAGTAATTGAACCCCTCTGTGCCTCATCTTCGCCATCTGTACCTGCCTCCAAGAGTTGTTATGAGAATAAAGGAAGTAATACATGTAAAACACTTAAAACAGGGCTTACTACCTATTAATCACCCAGTAAATGTTAGCTATATTATTATTATCTTGAAACATCTCCAACTCAAAATTATAATGTGCATCATTATATTACACTATCCTCTATTGCACTCCTTGAAACCACATTGCAGGCAAGAAATTACCAAGTCTTCAGGTATCTTAGTTCCTTAGTACTTTATCGGACCCTACAGGAAACACCCTTGGCCTGACTTAACAGTGAAGACTAAGGTGGGGATCCACAATTCTATTTTACCAGAAATACTACTTCCAGGAGTCCCTTATAAGGGAATTTTCAGATCAGCAAAGGCAAGGTACAAAGGGGCTCCCTGAAACCTTTTTTGTGAAGTGAAAATCTGGACACAGCCCAAGTGTGGAACAACCTGAGAATGATTAAATACGTTACGGTACAGCAATGTGCTTTTGAAAATTTTTTAATAACCAGGAAATACTGGTGAAATAGATGTAAATAGAAAAGCAGGTTTAAAAAAATGTGTTTATAATTGGATTACATTTGGCAACTATGCAAGCACATTTGCAGAAAAATAAAACCTAGAGTTTTACATCGTGATATTCACAGTGGGGTTACTGAGAGTGAAGAAACTTACACATGGTTTTGTTTACATTTTCTTTTTTTCTTTTTTTGGTGCCTTCCACATGTTACACAGGAATGCATACAATTTTTATATTAATAGAAAACATTAAGTCATGCAACCAAAATATTTAAATACAGAATCTTTCAGAAGACACACAGTGAACTACCAGGAACTAAAGATAGAACTCACATTCCTAAATTCCTAGTTTTTTAGCCCAAAATAACTTCACATAACAGAGAGAGGTGTTGCTACTCTTCAACTTATCTTTGCTCTGGAAAGAAAAGCTGTGAGAAGTATAGATAGATAGATAAATTAAATAGATATAGGAGGGATGAAGGGATATAAGAATAAGTGGATGGATGGACGGATGGATGGATGGATGGATGGGTGGGTGGATGGATAACTATAGATGGGCATAACTTGGGGGAGGAGAGCGAGGGCCTCTGAAGGTACAGGATACAATTTGGCCTTAACTAATCACAGCCATTCATTTTCACAACATTGGGGAGATGTTTGCTCCTTAGCCCACATAAGCTTATTAAGAGAGTGTTCTAAGAAATTTAGCTACAGTTTTAGCAGACAAAGCCCAGGAAAGCTTCGCCAGAGAGTTCTCCACCACAGCAATGCTCTGTTAATTCCTCTCATTAATTCAGTAAACAAGGAAATTTTGCAAAGGTTTTTATGGAAAATAACCTATAGCCCTGATAGTGGCTCCTTCTGAATTCTTATTGTTTCCTAATATTAAAAAAAAAAAAAATCGTTAAAGGGCACCCATTTTTCTTGAGCAAATAGCGTAGCCCTCATTCAGGCTGTAAATCTTTCCTTTCTTACTAATTCTTGACATCTTTTCTACCAGTAAAAATTCACCAAGAGTCTGAAGAGATGAAGAGAGATGCCAGGAAGAAGAGAAACGCCAGGAAACAGAAGCCCGCAGAATCATGAGAAGATGGGGCCTGCTGGCAGAGCTGGGGCTTGGCCGTGGTCACTCTGGGGCCTGCCCCTCATGAGTGGTGGAAAGTACAGCGATAATATGAAGGCCACACAAGAAGCTCAGGCAGTAACTAGCAAGAGGGAGGACAATTCAAAGGGAAGAGGCCCATGATCTTCTTTCTCTTTGTAACTTCTACTGTCAGGGAAGCCCCTTATTTATAAGGAACATGACTGTATTTATCTCCCAAGTTCTCACCCCCAGATTAAAGTTTTCAGAAAGACTTAGGCCATCAACAGTTAGAGGAGAAGTTGTGCTAATGTGTGAGGGATGCATTTTGGCCATTAATTTGCGATCCAGTTATTTTGTTTATGTTAATGATTCAATCTCAGAAACCATTAAAATTTCTGGTATCCCAGCTACTCTTACCTGGGAAAAAGAGGAAGTTCTTTCAAATGGAAATTGTGTTCACCTGGCGTAAGGAAAAAGCTGGTAAAATGTAAAGGAATCCTGAGACTTATTAATAAAATTGTGCCCAGTCCCTCTCTCCAGGTCCCCTTATGCTACCATGGTCAATAGCTGCAGGGCATCCCGCAGACACCCCTTTATCTAGTTCTGTTGACAAAATGTGATCAGCTCACAGTGGATACCACCTGAAATGCTGTTGTCCCTCTAAGTCACTAGGGGGAAGATCAGGGCCTGGAAACCAGATCCACTTTAATGGATGTCAAAGATTTTGAGAAAATGAGAAACTCCAGAATGATAGCTCACAGCTGGCAGCTAGCCCAGAGGTTCCCAAGGAACATCAGAGATATTCCCAGAATACAAAGAGGAAAGGTCATGCTGCCCATGTCTGAAATAAGACAGTGACTAGGAGACTCAACAACTACACATTCCTCTCTTCTCCTAACAAAAATGACAACGGCTTCTTTGTTTGTTTGTTTGTTTGTTTTTAGATTTAAAAAGCCTTTATTTTTAAAATGTGGCTCAACTACTTGCAAGGTGCTGAGCCAGTTTTGGAACCCACCTTGTAGCAGAGTAAAACTGGACCAAAGTGAGTGGAGTCAGGGCTCCTGGCTGTCACTCCTCCAGCAACTCAATCTACAGAGTTTTTCTTCAGCTGTTTTTTGTGACGCGTGGTGACCCGTTTTGGATTCCTCTGTATGACAGAGAGGTCCGACCTTGAGGAAGACCGGTAGCCCACATCCTCTGCTTTTATGGGCTTAATGATACGGCCTGGCTTGGTGATGACCTTAGGAGTAGTCAGCCTTTGGAAAGCTCTCTGGGTGTTCCACGTGGATCCTATAGGGGTCTGGATGGTCCTTTCAAATTGCCGATGGTGGGTAAATGGATATGGAAGCACTCGTACCTGATGAGCCGCTGCGTGGATGTTGCGCTTCTCATTGATAATCACATTTGGCAAATTCTTATCTTTTCTTGGAGGACCCTCAGGGGCTTTAATGAGAAACCGGCGTCTTTTCTTGGCACTGGGCTTTAGGCCCACACCACCCCACTCGCCCCAGCCAGGTAGTGTCAGGTCCACGTCCTTTGGCTTACTGGCCTCCACAGCCTCCCTCTTCTCTTTCAAGAAATCTCTGATGACATCATCCCCAGCGAAGGCTTCCTTTATCATCTGCCTTTGGTTTCTCTCCACGTCATCTTCCAGCGTCTCTGTTGTGGGCACTGCCAAAGACTTCACCGAGAGAGACTGTGTGGTTAGGAGGTTCTGTAGGTCAATCATTTGCTCCTTCTTTTTCTTCTCCTTAGGGGCATCAGGGTGATTATTTGGGGTCTTCTCTGACCAATGCCCTTCTAACACAGGTCTGGAAAGCTCCTTATTTTGAAAACATTCTTCGTTTTCTAGCTCTTCCAGCATCTGTACTCTTTCTGGCCTCTGTAGCAACAGGGGCTCCTCTTCTTCTGAGGCAGGTTCCTCTCTCTGGATCTGGGGAACAGTCCCCTCTGAACTTGCTTTTTGCTTCCTGGACTGATGGTCGTCCTTCAGTTTCTGAGACAGTGCCCTCAAGTCGGACAGCACCTCCTGGCTACTAGAATCTTTTGTTTCTTGACTGTCTGCTGGCTCAGCATCCTGGTTGAGCTCCGATCTTTTTCTAAGGGATCGCCTTTCCTCAAATTCTCTCAACAAAATGTCTTCTTCTGCCACTGGTCTTTCTTCTCCCTCACTTTCAGAAACTTCGTGGGCCACAGGCTCTGGCAGCTGCTCAGGGTCCTCCTCCTCGGTTGCAGCCTCTCTGGTGTCACTGGCGCAGCTCCTGAGCATCCAGGGATTCGGTCCGTCCACATTCATCTGCACTTCATTCACTGCATCAGGGACAAGGAGTTCTTCCACTTCTGCGCCTCCCTCCTCTTCCTCACTCTCAGAGGCTACCTCGAGTTTCTGTGCCAGTTCTTTGTTCTTGGCCAACTGTTCCTGCATAGCCTGGCGAGCCTCCAGGTCGTATTTGGCCATAATTGCCTTTGATTTGGCCCATTTCCCACTGTTTTGGTGCTTAAGGCTCATTCTTTCCATCATTCTGGCCTTTTCAATTTTTTCCAGTTCTTCCAATGCTGCAGCTGGATTAACCTTCCGCAGTTGCTCAAACTCTTTTAGGGCTTTCTTGGCCTTTCCTTTCTTCATGACTTTGTGATACTTTTTACTTTTAATTTTCTTCTCTCTTCGAGCCTTGGCCTCATAGTAGGACTGCAGAGCCCGGGCCCTCTGAAGCTCTGCTCGGCGCATCTTTGCCTCTTCCAGGCTCATGGCTTGGAGAGAGGCCTTTTCTACGGGAGTCAGTAAAGGGTCTGTCACTGGCTGCTTGTTCTTATGGAGGAGGTTGAAAATTTCTTGCTCCAGAGGAGTTCTTGCCTTCCAGCTACTGAGCACATGTTCAATGGGAGCAATGATTGGCTCCTCCTTCCCCAGGGGAAAAACCAGCTGCTCTGCCTGTCGGTTCTTTAGGACGATAGGGTCCCATTTGGAGAGGACTTGTGAGGTTTTATTGAATGCTACTTCTCTGTGGATCCGTTCAATCTCTTCTTTGTTAAGAGGTAACTCCACGGTCTTCTTTGATTTGACTCTATTCAGTTGCTTTTTCACAGTAGCCAAAGAAGATGAAGTTTTAACAGGCTCAAGCAGATCTGCAAGGACCAGCTTTTCTCCTGATCCTTCAGAACTGACATTGAACTCTGATACCTTCAGACTAGCCTCAGACCTCTCAGCTGATTTCCGCCTATTCTTTCTATCAAGGGAACTGATTGCTTCCAGAAGCTTCTGATGCTTTCTCTCTCCATCACCGTCCCCCTCATCTTCACTCTCACTCAAGAGGTAGTCTTTTGGCAAATCCACTAGTTCTTCCTGTTGGCTCAAAGCCAGAAGGCTCTCCGTAAGCCGGTTCGCAGTCATCTCAGCAGCCCGCTTCTCTCACATGGACCGACGACTGCTTCTTTACCAACGACTTCTCTTTAATCTCCCTGGCTCCTAAGTAAAAATAATTAAGATAACCAATCATTCATTGCACCCACTTACAGGCAATATCCAATCCAGACCAATCCTCTGTTCCTCAAACCCTCTAGAAAATCCCATGGTTCCTCTGCAGTGCACTCCCCCTGCCAAGGAAAATCCCATGGTTCCTCTGCAGTGCACTCCCCCTGCCCAATAAATTGAACTTTTTCTTACAGATGTGCCTGTGACTGTCTTTGTCTCATGAGCTTTAACTCGCTGTGGGCATCTGTTGCTTTGGAGCAGCCCAACATTGAGTTCCAATTCTGAAAACTGCCTTGACATCCCTTAAAGAGTTGGATGCCAGTCTGGAAAGATTCGTATCTGGGCCTCTTCTAGGCCAAGGTCAGCCATGTGCCTTAGCTTAAAAATTAGACACCCTCCCCGGGATTTGACACCTGAGTGAGAGGCACAGCACCGGGGTTGGTGTCCAGGACAGACTGGCCATGTTGCAACACCAGGGATGTGCTTCCTGCTTCCTGGTCCTCTAACCCTGCACATTCCTAGTCAAGGCCCTCATCTTTCTCACTGAAACAGGAGAAGTTCCCTTATCATCATCGCAGGGCATGTGATGGGGGTATGGCTCGCTGTGTCCCTGCACTGTGGCTCAAACCTCTAGGGGGAAGCATGCAGTCAGGCAGTCTGTGGGGCTCCCACCCCACGGCAGCATCTAGGTGTGAATGTTCACAGCTGAAGCCCCAGTGGGCAGATGTTACAGTGTGCTCTTTCACTTGATCCGTGGGTCCCTAAGCGGCCTGCGTTAGAGCCCCTGCCTTCTCTTCTGCCATCTGCTGTTCAACGCTGGTGTGTTCTTCCATCAATATGTTCCTCTTGACATCCAGCTGCTTGTGTGTGTGCCCGCCGGGGTCTCAGGGATTTTACAGGCACAGGATGGGGGTGTGGCAGGTCAGGGTGGTCTTGGGAAATACAACATTTGGGCACTGAAACAGAAATGCCTGTCCTCACCTAGGTCTGTTGGCATAGGCCCAGGGGTGGAGCCCTCACCAGAGACCCTCCCAGCATTTCCCTGGCCCCCTTCTCGTATCGCCATCAATGCAGTAACTCCTTTCACTTAATTGAGCCAGGTTCGATTTTGCTCTTGCTTTTCAGCAAAAAGTGTGCAGATGCACAGCTGTCATCTGAACAGTGGCACTCACTCTCCACCTGAACGAGGAGCTCGTTCTGCATCAGGGTGGGTGAAAATGCCTTGGTTTGATCCACTCCCAGGGCTGGGGCAGGACTCTCAGGCCCCCGGAATGTTGTTTCCATCATTTTATTAACCTGGAAAATATGTCCTTTTATTCTGATTGTGTGGTCACCAACAATCGCTGATTTTTAACATGGGCTCTCATGCACTCTGATAAGAGGGTCCCTGATGATCAGGCACAGCTCCTTGTCACTGAGAAGCAACAGCTCCTATTTGTAAATGAATGCCTTGACATTGAGCTTTATCCCACAACGGGGAGTTGGTTAACAGGAGGTGGTTACTCTGTGCCAAAACAATATGTGTGTTCTGACAAAATCAAATCACCAGCTCTGCAGACCCACAGATCTCACAGGCTGGGTTTGATCCACCAAAGAATGCTGCCTCCATCACTGCTGGCTGCCCTTCATGGCATTTCTATCTGTGACAACTGCCACCAGCTACGTCCGCTGGACGTCAACATGCCAAACAGGCACTGAGCTTTGTGCACTGAATCTTTGCCTAGATGTTCTTTATACTAGGGTGACTTGATCCAAAGGGATTTCAGGATAACACATGGAGATCAGGAAAGATTATGCTATGGTTCATCTCTTCCTTCTGTCATGGCGACAAGCTCTGCTGCCCACCTGTGTCTAGACTGGGCCCTGCTGTCATGTTTGAGGGTAGAAAGCAGGCTATGTCTGCGCCTGGGAACCCTTGAGTTAGTTCCCGGAGTCAAAGCACCTCCCATTGCCTTTAGAACTGCTCAGAATGTTCTTGGAAATATTTTACTCGTATTCAAGAGCATTTGTTTTTGAAATTCGGTCTGGTACAGTAGTTAAAGCACAGACTGCCAGAGTGTGACACCTGACACCTGACACCACGGGTCACTAGCTTGACCTCAGGCTTGACTTACCCTCTCTGTGCCTCCCTTTCCCCATCTGAAAATAGAAATAATGGTAGGACCTACCTCACAGGGCTGCTGTCATGTTTAAATGCATTAATAGATGTAAATTCCTTAGGACAGGTACCTACATTCCTACAACTTATTAAGAATTATGTGTTGGCTGCCATTCTATAATTGCCAGAGAGTAATATGTGTAAGCCATAGAATTTCTCAGGGTTTGCTGGTTTCTTTGAAAATAAAGAGAAACTGTGGCATTGGGAAATTGGTACAGCAATGGGTCTTGGTCTAATGGGTTTATAGGTGAAAAGATTCTCTTTGAAAACTTTCTCTATTTCCATACTGTAAACACTGTTTTGTTAGTTAACTGTTCCATTTTGAAATTTGCAACCCTCCTCTCTCCACGTATATAAACTGACATGTGAACTCCACAAAGGCTGCCATGTGTCAGCGCTGTATCTCCACTGCCTGAAACGGTGCTTTGGGACATAGTACCTGCCCAATAACGTCTGTACATCTAAATTAAATTTAAATACTGACCTTTCATCTAAGTGAACACAAGAGGTTTTGAAGTGGTCATTGGTCAACATTATCTGAGTTTTCACAAGACCTCAGTATACTTGGCAAAGCACTTCCCAAGTGATAGACAAGGCATGCACTTTAAAAGCAAAATTCATGGAGCGTTCTACTGGATGGTGCTGCTCTAAAGAATTCATGCTTCTTCTTCTTCTTCTTTTTTTTTTTTTGTAATTTAGCTGTTCTTCATTAACATGGAATTTGGGGTGGTGAGGGTAGCCCCAACCTCCAGGAGGACAAGGTAGGTTCACAGTGTTTCCAGCCCACACCTTTCCCTGGTCTTCCTTCAGTGTCACAGTTTTGGTTAAAAACAAGCTTTCCCTTATGGCTGTCTGGATCCAGAGAGAAGTACCCAAGATACTCAAACTGGAACTTGTTGAAGGGTTTTGCCAGCAGTCCACTAATGCTGCCTCTGCCACGCATGGTGATGCTGGGTTCGGGTTACTTAAGAATCCACCAGGCACCTCAGTAGGATCTTCAGGGTTCTTGTCCTGGAATAGGTGCACATAGAGGCGAACCTTGCACATCAAAGGCTGTGACACCCAGTGAATAAAGGCCTTTGGCTTCTCTCCAGCATCTGCCCTTCTGCAGGTCACCTCCAGACTCTCTACACAACCACTGGGGCCCTTGACAACACGCTGCAGCTCAGCGACGTTGCCTGTATGCCTCAGGCCCACAGGCTGGCCCCAACCCAGGTGCTTAAAATCTGGCTCTGGCTCCTCCTTGAAGTCAGTCCTCTCAATGAACACAATGGATGTGAAAGGAACCTGATGGAAGCCTTTGGTCTCATCAGCTGGGAAGCTGGGCACCTGGATGTCCAAGGACTTGGCAGCAGGAAAGTTGGTGATGATGACCTGTAGTGACTCCAGCACAGCCATGGCTCATGGCACTGTGTCATTCAGCACATCACACACACAGGCTTCCAGAAGATGTGGCTCCATTGTGGACTGTGCCACTGTCACTCCCACCGGGGCACAGAGTTGTTGATGCCCTCAGGTGGGAAACCCCGCCGTCTCAGGGCCGTGCGTGTAAAGAGCCGTGGGTCACCCCAGTCCCGCACAGCACCAGTTGCTACAAGCTGGAGGATCTTCCTCTTAGAGACAACAGTGGAGTGCAGGTTGAGGCGGCCATATTCCCACTGAACAGGGCAATAGACGTCCAGTGCATTGCAAGGCCAGAAGTAGGAAAAGCGTCGGGCCTGGAATTCCCTGGTGCAGAGTGAGTGAGTGATGTGTTCAATGGAGTCACAGGCAATGTGTGTAGTCGTAGGTGGGATAGATGCACCATTTGTCCCGTGCAGTGATGTGGTGTATACTTGACTTGATAGGCTACAGGGACCATCTTCCATCCTCCATCAACAGCTTCATCCGTAGTGTGGCCTCACCCTCTGAAAACTTGCCCTTGTGCATTGCCTCAAAGAGCAGCAGTGACTCCTCCATGGGACGGTCTCTCCAGGGTGAGGGCAGAGGATTACGGCCTTTGAGCTCCTCCCCTCGCTGGTGACACACATAAGCCAGACCCCTGCAGATGAGCTCCACAGCCCAGGCATATGGCTGGTCAAAATAGTCAGAGGCATATATCACTCTGTAAGGTGTGTAACCCAGCCAGGCCACCATGCCATAGATGGCAGTGAAGAACTTTGCTTCCTCCTTCTCAGGGTTGGTGTCATCAAAGTGCAGAAAACAGATGCCATTGTTGGCCTTGTCATAGCCAAAGGTGAACTTGATGGCTTCGGCATGTCCAATATGCAGGATTCCATTGGGTTCTGGTGGGAACCGTACCTGCCCCCCAGTAACCTCCAAGTGCTGCTTTAGTAGATTCATGGTGTGTGGAGTCATCACATAGCCTGGGGTCTTGTAGTTTCCACCAGGCTTGTGGAACTTAAGGGCCTCTCCCCGGAGCTGCTCCATCAGAGACAGGGTCTGGTCAGCAGTCTCACCATTCTCTGCCACATCTTTTGCTGTCCTCCGGTCTGTTTCCTCCAGCCGCGCTTTGGCCACCTTGGGCTTCTTCTCCAGATCAGCCTCCATCTTGGAGCCCAGAAGGTGGAAGACCTGCATGTCCACTTTGTTCTTGATCATTTGGCCATCTGCTCCCTTGAGCACGGCCCGAGCCCATCCCATCAGCAGCCCCATGTTGAAACGGTAACGTTCCACCAGGAGCTGGGGCCCCTGCTTGTTAATGGCAGCCTCCACAGCCTTCTCAATCTGCTCTGGCGTCAAAGTGACATCCACGCCACATTCCTGCTCAAAGTCCGTAGTGTCAATGGGGTCCAAGTGGTGACTCCGCACATACTCAAGGGCAGCGCTCAGCTGGGGCTCAGTGTGGATCTTCTTACTGGCTATGTAGCTTACAAGGAAGGAGAGACGCTGGGTATCCCTGAGTCGGGAGGCCAAGCCATGTAACAGGGTCCCAGTAGCCTTATCAATGGTGGAGCCCAGGGTCTGCTGAGCCTGAGTAGCTGCTTCGCGCAGCTGCGCGCTCAGTCTGGTTCTTGAGCGTCTCGCGGGCCTTCTGCTCGCTAAGGCCGAGGCCAGTTAAGAGCGACAGGGAGTCCAGAGCCGCCATTGCAGAGACAGACACTGGAAACGAAAAGACTTTTTTTTTTTTTTTTTTTTTTTTTTTTACAAACACGGCTGTATTGGGGGAAGGGAGGAGGGACGGGTCAGTCTTCTTTCAGGCTCCCGAACACGGTAGCTGGCATGCTCTGCTGCTCTAGCTGGACCTCGTTGGGTTCCAGGTCCATCTCGTCCTCGCCCAGCTGGATCTCCTCGGGGTTGACCTGCTGTGCCAGCTCTGCCAGCTCCTCCCTGGAGGCGTCGCTCCTCACGAACAGGATCTTGCTCTGGGCACACAGGGACTGGTCTCGCTCCACCTCGGCTGCCAGCTGTTCCGCACGCTGTTCCAACAGCTTCATGTCATCCATGCCTCTCTGCCCAGGGGCCAGGTTGGACACGGTGCCCATGGTGCTGCCCGAGACCTTGAGCATCTGCGAGGCCATGGCGTTGACCTGCGTGTTGTATGTGGCCTGCACGCTCCGCTGGATGCGCAGCATCTCCTTGATGGTGTCCTCCTTGCCGTGCCGGACCTCAAAGTCCTTCCACGTCTGCCAGAACGCTCCGGTCGTCCGGGGGTTGCAGATCTTGGAGCAGAAGCTGTAGATGGCCCGGGTGCGGTTGATCTGCCCCAGCTTGCACCCCATGTCCGCGAACCTCAGGCACATCTCAGGTGCATGCTCGTCCGACAGCACCTCGATGGCCTTCTGGTAGATGCCGCGGGTGTGGGTGACCCCATAGATCTCGGCAGCCCGCTTGATGCAGATGTTGAATGTGTCGTGCTGCTGCTCAGCCTCCACGGCCCTGGTCATGGCGTGCCGGGCCAGGCCCCACTCCTCCTCCAGCTGCGCGTACAGCAGGTACAAGGTCTTGGCGTCTTTTGGTGGGCAGCCGTCCAGAGCCTGTTCGAACAGGTCCCGTGCCCGCTCCAGCTTGCGGCCCCCGTAGCGGGCGACGAATTTGGTCAGGTAGGTGCTCCAGATTTCCGACACATTGGGCCGCGTGAACAGGGGGATGCTGCGCTCGTGCGCCTTGAAGCTCTCCTCGAAGTACTTGTGCTCCTGCAGGAACATGGCGTCGTTGATGACGATCTGGGGTGCTGCGATGCGCAGGTCCGGGATGCGGTCGTACACGGCCTTGGTGGACTGGAAGGTGCCGAGGCTCTCCTCCAGGTCGGAGAGCATGGACCACACCTTCAGTGACTTGTACACGCGGTTCTGCACGGGCTCTGAGCCGTCGAAGTACTCGGCCCGGCAGGCAGGCAGCGCCGTGGCCTTCCACAGCAGCCGCAGGGCCTCGTCATAGTTCTCGTGCCGGAGCTCCAGCTCCCCGCACCGACACCGTAGGCTTGCCAGGTCATCCACCTGCTTCAAGTTCACCTTGGTGGCCTTCTCCAGGATGACACAGGCATCGTCCAGCTGCCTGTTGTCCTCATGAAACTTGGCAAATGCCACCCACAGAGTGTGGGGTTTGCCTGTGGCCTTGCAGGGGCCCACCATCTGCACAGCCTCTGTGTAGGTATTGATGATCTCCCGGGGGCGGCCCTGGTGCAGGGCAACAGGCTTATGCCACTTGTGCACGTGGTGTGGGTTCTGGCGCAGCAGGATGCTGTTGAGGAGCAGGGGCCTCCTCCTCGTGCATTTAATACCTCTGGGCAGAATCTAAATACTGGGTTCTCCTGTAGTTCATCTTTAGTTAGTTACTAAGAAAGGATATAGGAGACATGTGCCTTCTGGAAACAAGTAGAAGCAATCACCTGGGCCATGTCCCTACAAACCCATGTCAGGGAGGTGCCAGTTACAGCAGGTGATTCAGCTACTTGAGGCAGGTGACAGATCTCCCATTCCTCACTGAAGATGGGGCTCGTGTTTTTGTTTTGCCCCCGGTAGTCATCTGGTGTTCGTACTATAACAACAAGAAGAAAATTTATCTTTATATACTCTTTGCACCTCCTTTTTTGAGATACAAATATTTGAGGGGAGAGAAGTATCTAAGGGTATATGTGGAAACAATGCAGTCAGATCTACATTAGGAAAGGTATGAGCTGCCTCCCTAGTGGCCATGGGGGTGGGCAGGGGGCGGTGTATGTCTTTGGGCATTTGTTTTTTATGAAGTGTATAATAAAATAATCGTGCTGCCTCGCCCTCCAGAATAGCTGGGATTGCAGGCACGCACCACCATGCCCAGCTAATTTTGTATTTTCAGTAGAGACATGGTTTCACCATGTTGGCCAGGCTAGTCTTGAACTCCTGACCTCAGGTGATCCGCCTGCCTCAGCCTCTTAAAGTGCTGAGATTACAGGTGTCAGCCACCGCACCTGGCCCACCTCCAATCGTTAGGTCTTTTTTTTTTTTTTTTTGAGACGGAGTTTCGCTCTTGTTACCCAGGCTGGAGTGCAATGGCGCGATCTCGGCTCACCGCAACCTCCGCCTCCTGGGTTCAGGCAATTCTGCCTCAACCTCCTGAGTAGCTGGGACTACAGGCACGCGCCACCATGCCCAGCTAGTTTTTTGTATTTTTAGTAGAGACGGGGTTTCACCATGTTGACCAGGATGGTCTCGATCTCTCGACCTCATGATCCACCCGCCTCGGCCTCCCAAAGTGCTGGGATTACAGGCTTGAGCCACCGCGCCCGGCCCGTTAGGTCTTAAAGAGAGATAGTATTCATTTATTCTACGAATATTTATTTAGGATCTACTATTTATTAGGTAAGTCATGAGTACAATAGCTGACTGGAAGACACAAATAATACTTAAGTAAACAGACTAATTAAAGCTGCTGATTTAGGAATTAAATAGTTTCAGGTTCATATCACGATCTGTTTCTTAACTCCCATGTAACATTGGGAAAGACACTTAAACTTGAAGACCCTCCTTTTCCACACTTGTAAAAGAGGAATTAAAAATGCCTGCCTCTGTGGTTGTTGTGAGGATTAAAGGGATAAGTTAAGTAGTACTTAGCATGCTGGCTCCAGTGTAATGCAACTATTATTTCTCTTAAAAATGTTTTGGAACCTAAGAGTGTGCTTAAATCATTGAAACACCCTTGTTAGGGTCTTAAGATGAATCAATGAAGATATTAGATAGAATTGCCAGAAAACACAGGAAAGTAACAGACCATGTTTCAAGTCCTTGAAGCCTAAGGGCTGCTCATCTGAGGTCTTAGGACAGAGCAGAGATGGGCAGATTAGGGACACAGGGCCATAAACATGACCTGGAGCCATGTAAATATGCTGCCTCTGCAGTGCTCTCTTCTGCGGTTTGATGGAGAGTTAAAGAACTCCTGGGCCCTTGGGATTTTTGAGTCAAATGACCATCAATCACCACTGCTTTTTTTCCTGTTTATCCTGGGTTGCTCAACCCCATGCATGTGAGATAAACTAAAATAGGTCATGCTGCGTAAAATCTCTGCTTAAAACACAATCTTGCCGGTCTGCAGCACAACTGGGAAGCTTCTGTTCTTCCTCTTCTCGTAAATATTCTCAGAAACACAATAAACACATCAAAAACCACTTTCTTCACTTCCAGTGGACTGACCATTTATTGCGTTTTCCTGGAAACTGGATTTGGAGCAGACATGAGTGAACACTGGACTTCAAATGTGAGTCACTGAAAGGCAGCCTCGGAGCAGGGCCGACGATCAGTAGCTGACCCTGCTTCTGTCAATCATGAGGAATGTTTCCTTCTCTAGATAGAGGGATAGAAACCCACGTGCCCAACCCAAGTTTACCTGAAGCAGTCACTGGGATACTCATTGCACCATCGTGTCCCATCTTATCCCTTTTGTTACCTTCAAATATAGTCGCATTTCCTCAGGACCAGAACTCCCTTATGTGGGAAGCAGGGCCATCCATGAGTTACTCCTCATTGGCTGGGATACGTGCCAGTATTTTCAGCAAAGCATGAATCTGATAAAATTTGCCTGAACTGGCTCCCAGTTTCAGAATGAGCTAACACCACCCAGGGCCTCTATTTAGGGCAATCTGGTAGAGTCAGGAGCAGAAAGGCATCTTGTGCTGTTATACTGATAATAATATCAAAGTATTTAGTAAATATGAGTGACATTGACTCTCCTATCAGATTACGGGAAATGAAACCATCAACACTGGCCTCTCTTTGGGAGGAAACTGGAAATGGCAAGAGGGACTGCTCGTGGGCCGGAGCCCAGCACTTGGGTCATGACTCACCCTGGACAGGTCACATATGGGCCCCACTGCTTCAGGCCTGGTTGTGGATCACGCCCTGGATTCTTCTCCTCCAAGCGCAGCTCAGTTGCCATGATGCTCCTTGAGTCAATGAGCTCTTTGGACTGCTCCTCTGCTCAAGCTAGATGATGATCTGTGCGTCACCCTTGAGAAGCTGACAAGAACCACTGGCTTCTTTAGGCAGGTGGCGGAACATGGGTGTATCCTGCAAGGGCCCACAGTATCTCCCGTGGCTCAGATGACAGAGGCTTGGAGTTTTTCAGCTGTCGACCTAAAATTCCTGAATGATTGTTTTCAAATTTCTTCATAAATATTAGGATGAACTTGCCACCCCTGTCAGGGGGAATGGGATTCCTGAGAGCTGAGGGGCCAGAGTCCAGATCAGATCCTGATCCTCTTCACTTTGTAGAGCAAAGGCAGTCTCTCTCTCTCTCTCTCTCCCCCGTGATTAGGTGAGATCTTAGACCTAACGGAGAATCAGCTGTTCCAAGGAACAGCTCGGGATCCCGCAACCTGAAAAGGTAGAACCAAGGCAAAGGCAGGTGGAAATACCCAGAGGTTGGGTACTGAGCATGTTAAGGGGAATTTTTTTCAGGGAAGGGAAGTAAATAATGAGGTTTAGACAGCAGCAAGAATGAGAAGCCAAATCATAGACTGCAAAATCAAACAGCATCTGCCCTTTCTCCCTGGTCAGAGAGAGTATGATAGGAAGTCTCCAATATAGAAATCCCACTGTGTCCTTCACTTCCCCCACAGGCTCAGAACAGGCTTGATTCTGAAATTTCTGTTCTCTTTAGGCTCGGGCCTGATTTTCTGGCTCATTAAGGCCAAGGGGAGCTGGAAAGTTACCCAAGGCAGGACTCCTGGTGGAGAGAGAATGGTCTGGAGGATTCAGGCCTCTGCACACTGTGTCTGGGTCCCTCCGAAAAGACTGATAAAGACAAGTAAAGAGCTTGAAGCAGCCTGGAGTTTAGTCAGAAACCTTTGAGCCTCAAAGCAGATGGTCACAACACTTTTCAGAATATTGGCAAAGGGCTCCTGTGGCCAGGTTTGTCCTAGGATGACATAATTTAATAATGTAACCTCCTGTATCTTTGCTTTTGATATATCTGCTCCCCCATCACAAGGACGTCATGGTTAATTTCACCAATTTGGTAACCTGGCTTATGGGAAGTAGGAAAGTAAGTCAGGGCCGGGCCTGTAATCCCAGCACTGTGGATGGCTGAGGCAGGGGGATCGTTTGAGCCCAGGAGTTCAAGACCAGCCTGGCACCATGACAAAACCACATTTCCACAAAAAATGCAAAAATCAACCAGATGTGGTAGTGCATGGCTGTAATCCCAGCTACTCAGAGGCTGAGGCGGGAGAATTTCTTGAGCCCGGGAGGCAGAGGTTGCTGTGAGCTGAGATCATGTCACTGCACTCCAGCCTGGGCAATGAAGTGAGACCCCATCTGAAAAAAAAAAAAGAGAGAAAGAAATTGAGGGTTTCCTGTGAATCAAATCCTTGAATGAATGTTTTCTTTTTTATTTTTTGAGACGAGTCTCACTCTGTAGCCCAGGCTGGAGTGCAGTGGCACAATCTTGGCTCCCTGCAACCTCTACCTCCCAGGTTCAAGTGTTTCTCCTGCCTCAGCTTCCCGAGTAGCTGGGACTATAGGTGCGTGCCACCACACACCCAGCTAGTTTTTGTATTTTTAGTAGAGATGGGGTTTCACCATATTGGCCAGGCTGATCTCGAACTCCTGACCTCGTGATCTGCCTGTCTCAGCCTCCCAGAGTGCTGGGATTATAGAAATGAGCCACCGCGCCTGGCCTGGATGTTTTCTTAACTAACCAAGACTTCTGTAAGAATTCTGTCTTTGATTCCACAACAAAGTGGTGTGAAGTCACTATAAGCAAATGTTTACACGTCTCATTTAATCTTCACAACAATCCTGTGAAGAAAGTAGAATTGTGCTCCTCATTTTCTGAGTGAAGAAACTGAGGCTCAGGGGAGGTTTATGACCTGCCCAAGTCTCCACGGCTGGAAACCACGGAATGGCTGCCCTTTCCCAGCGCTGCCTCTGCCACATCCTCCCCTGCCCTGTCCCTGTGCTCTGGGTGCCTGCAGCGCTTAATTAAGGGCAGATGTGAAGAGAGAGCATGGGAAAGCTTTGACAGAGATATTTCAGGATGAAGAGGCAGGGCCAGCTGCCTAGAGGTGGGGAATAATGTTCCTAAGTAGAGCAAAATCAATACACAGAGGGCAAATTCATTACCTACAGTTACATTCCTCTCGACTTGAATGGCTATATTTGTCTCAATAGCTGAAATATTGCTTAGCCTCCCCACTGCTGGATGTGGCCCCACCATCTTTGTCTCAAGATGAGAAACCTCTTCTTACAGTTGCAACTCCCACCTAGGGTCCAACAAGTCTCATTGATTATAATTTCAAACGAATATAGATTATCGTAGATGTTTTTTCAAATAGTAAAAAAGTGCAAAGTATGTTGTTGAATGGAGAAAAACGAAGTGCCAAGCAGGATATAATGTGCTAACTTTTGTGGAAAAGGAAAGAATGAGAATCTCTCCCTGTATTTTTTCTTAGAAGCATAAATACATTTAAAAATGATCCAAGAAAATGGACCACAGGTGTTGTGGGTGGGCTGGGGACTGAGGTGGATAAAAGCTTTCACAGTTCTCCTTGCTGTATTTGAGAGACAGATGTTTGAATATTGTGACTTTATTCTCTATTATAAAAATTTTGTTCAAATAAAAAAATGGAATCACAAAAAGAACACAAATTAAGTTATCTCTGAAATAGTCCCCATTACTTCTTATTGCCAAAGATAACTGTTAATAGTCTGATACATATTTCTGTAGGCTTTCTCTATACATAAGCCTATGTCTGTTTATCAAAATACACAGATACAATTATTTTATTTTACTGTGGCTTTCAATAAGACTATACTATGCATGTTGTTCTGGAATTTCCTTTTTGCTTTCAGTGGTATATGCTGGACCCATTTCCACGTTTATACCCATGGAATCATAATTAAATGTTCCACTGTTGGTAAACATTTAGAATTATTTAAAAATCTGTGAATCTGTGAAATATGTAATATCTATGCTTATGTGACTATTTTTGTAAGATATAAATGGATTTACTGAAGCCAAGAATGTGTTCCCTAAAAAAAAAAAAAAAAAGAATAATAATAATTCCAGGTCACTGAACAAAAACACTGCATCACCTTACAACAGCAAATAAGCGGACCCATTCCTCCACACGGTCACTCACACTAAATATCAGCAACTTCCACACCTCTGCAAAACTGAATGGTTTCAGATAGAAAGAGATCTTGTTTGGCCTCACATCTCCTGGGCCATGAGAGGGCTCAGCCTCTGCTCCTCGTGTGCGTCTCCTGTGCTCATGTCTGGAAACAAGGCAGGGCAGTAGCTGGACTCCATGGAAGGAACGTGGCTTCCCGTCCTCAGTCCTTGACTCAGAAGATTTCACCACATCACAGGAGGAGCCGTGAGATGTCAGTGTCACGTAAGACAGAGGTGGGAAATGGAGATGCTGTGGGGGGCTACAGGAAAGTGCCCATGAATGCTGACAGGGTCTGGAGAGGCAGTGAGGACTTTCCTAACTGAAAAGTGCACTCTTTACCCAATGGAATTTACATTTAAAAACGCGGTAACATTGGTGCAGAACAAAAATCGCCTGTCTCTGGGGCAGATTTGGCCATCAGCAACAGCTTTAATCTAACACAGTAGAGTCACATGACCCAGAGAAATACATGTAAGTATCAGAATTTTGTTTCTTTAAAAAAAATCTTCTATGTTCAAACTCTTAATATCCAAATACATTTTTTAAGTTAGTCTCCGATCTTATGTTTAAGACTCTAAGATACAACCTAATTTTTAGAGAAAACATGTAAAGCGTTTTTCTGGTCCTAATCTATATGTGAAATGAAAGATCAAGGAAACACCATCATGAATTTGTCAGAGAGCAAGTATTAGGTATTTGCTTATCTTTGCTGTAGCATTTATCTATGTTTATTTAGACTTATTTTGAGTAAAATGATTATTAAATCTTTTATTAAGCTGAACTACATGAATTTGCCATTTAGGTCAAAAATACTAAAATGTCAGCAATGTCGTAAGGATCAACGAAAAGCCAACCCGCACTCTCGTCTACTCCACAGCCAATTTATTTTAGGAAAATGTCCCCCAGGCCTTTCTGCCAGAGGGTGGGAACAATACCACTGAAATGCTAAGACTCCATGAATTACTTGAGTTGTTTTATCATCTAATCCAGGCTTTGGCTCCATCTCACTGTCGCTTTGCTTGCCCACTGGTGTGGTGGTTCTGGTAGCGGTTTTGGTAGCAGTCTGAACCAGGGCAAGCAGCTGTGTCTCTTAAATGAAGTGTCTGCCTACAAGGGCAGTGCCTTCCAAAAGTTCCTTCCTCTTCTGGGAAACCTTTTTGGCTCTGAGTGAAAACAGGGACCAGGCACTGACAGGCAAAACATTCTGCACCGCTCTGAGGTGTGAAACATCACCTGTTTGGTGAAGCAACATCCCAGAACTGCTGGATCTGGGCCTCTCCAGCCACACGATTCCTTAAGTCAATGGGCCATTCATCTGCATCAAGATCCTCATCTCCATCATTTAGCATTTGCTGACCCCCCTGGAGGAAATGACACTTTACTTGATGACTCAGCATCTTTTCAGCCTTCTTCCTATTCTGTGTCCTTCCCAGCCACCGACACTGAAAGCACACTATGTCATCACATGAGCAGTTCACAGGTGCCATGAAATACCTCACAAATGTACAGTACTTTGTTGACAAATCTCGTAGTAGGTAAGAAATACGTTATTATTTACATTTTTCTATTGGAACTTGGGGGCACAGAGCGTTTAAATTACCTGCCCAAGGGCACACAAGTCACTTGCCTCTTCTGTTTCAATTATGCAATGGCTTAGTGATTCTTTCTTCAGACCATTGCTTTGAGGAGTGAATGGAATTAAGTCTGTGTGAAAAGGGCTGAGATGGTGAGTTCTTAAAGCAGGGTGACTACTGTTAGCACCAACTATTTATGGTAGTGACCATGATGATGATGGGGAAATAATAACACCTTCAATTAATAACAATAATAAAGTTGGAGTTAGAACCATCCCCCCAAAGTATAAAAATTAGGGCAACAAATTACATCACATTTTGTCTATTAAATGAATTATTTATTACGAGGAAATAGGCATCCTCATATACTGCAGGTAGAAGCACACAATGGAATAACTCCCATCAGCAAGCTAATCCATTTCCAGGAATTAGTTTTCTTTCTTTTTTTTTTTTTTTTTTTTTTTGAGATGGGGTCTTGCTCTGTCGCCCAGGACTACAGGGGCATATCACCATACCCAGTTAATTTTGTATTTTTTTTTTTTTTGGTAGAGATGGGGTTTTGCCATGTTGGCCAAGCTTGTCTTAAACTCCTGGCCTCAAGTGATCCGCCTGCCTTGGCCTCCCAAAGTGCTTGGATTACAGGTGTGGGCCACTGCACCTAACCCCCCATTTCCAGGAATTAATTTTTTAATGACATTTACATACATCTACAAAAATACATGTGCAAGAAACAAAATAGAGTACTTTTTGTAAATGAAACACAAAAAACATTTAAAATACTAATCAACAAGAGAAAAGGAGATTGTTAAATGAATAATGTTGGGTCTAACAATGGAATGCTTTGCATGTATTGACAAAAAAAAAATGATCCATGGTATAATATTGACTCTAAAATAGAGGAGTTTGTATTATCTGATGTTCCTTGTGATCCTAGATATTTGCTGCTACCTTTGATGGTGGACAGCAGGTAGATTCCTTACACAATCTGGTAGCATGGACATTTTGCCTACGGGAGAGGGTATAGTCATTTGTCAAAAGTTTACCCCTACTGGCCAGGCACCGTGGCTCACGAATGTAATCCCAACACTTTGGGAGGCTGACGTGGGTGGATCACCTAAGATCAGGAGTTTCAGATCAGCCTGGCCAACATAGTGAAGCCTTGTCTTTAATAAAATCCAAAAAAATTAGCCAGGCGTGCTGGCAGCGCCTGTAATCCCAGCTACTCGGGAGGCTGAGGCAGGAGAATTGCTTGAACCTGGGAGGCGGAGGTTGCAGTGAGCCGAGATCGTGCCATCGTACTCCAGCCTGCTTACCAAAGATGAGGCTGGCATTTTCTACACTACAAAGCCAGTGTAAATTAGATAGTAAATTCGGTCAAGGAATACTGACAATTGTTGCTTCTTTTGGTTTGTTATTTTTCCAGTGGCTCTTTTCATGCAGACAGGGTAGAAAGGTTTTAAAATGAAAGGTTTGAAATATTCCATAATATTGACAAAGTTCAACATTTCCCGTAAATTCTTATTTATTCAGTTGCCTTATTCACCTTAATCAAAATGATAAGCAGGAAGAAGAAAAAGTGCAAATGACTTCCAGTGTTTCATCACTGCAAAATGAACAGCAAAAAGGTAAAACAGAAATGAAAGTTCAGGCGAGTCCCCAGTTTTCTTCCCTTTCATTAACAGTGTGGGAAACTAAAACGGTGTAGCCACTGTGGCAGTCTGATACTTCCTCAAAAAGTTATACGTATCAGTTTTGCTCCTATGTATATACCCAGACAGATAAAACCGTACCTTAATGTGAAAACATATGCACAAATGTTCACAGGAGAATTATTCATAATAGCCAAAAGAGTGGAAACAATCAGATGCAGATGGCCATCGGTTAATGAGTGGATCAACAACATGTGGCATATCCACACTGTGGAATACTTGGAATACTTTCAGCTATAAAAAGGACTAAATTACTGACACAAGCTACTATTGTAAACCCCAAAATAGTAATAGATAAATCCTTAAAACATTATACAAAGTGAAAAAGCTAAACATAAAAGATCACATTTTAAGGTTCCATTTCTATGAAATGTTGAGGAGACAAATCCACAGAGACAGAAAAAGTGCCCTATGGGAATGGAGGTGGAGAGAACTGGGACTGTCTCTGACTAATAAATATGAGGTGATGAAAATATCCTGGAATTAGATAGTAGTAAGGGTTGCAAAAATAATGAATATACCAAAAAATCACTGAAATTTTCACTTGATATGGTGAATTTAATGCTATGTTAAATGTATCACAATTTAAAAAATATATGTATTTATGCAGGTGCGTGTATGTGTGTATACACACACACACACTTGCATAAAACTCAATCCCTGTGTCATTTTGGTGAGTGGTGCAGACAGAGAAGCCTCTATGCTGGGAGAGGCTCAGCTTGCAGATGCACTTGCCCTGGGGGTTGCTCCAGAGGAAGGACACCCCCATCTGAGAGTTCCTGGGACTCCTGGATATTAAAGCACAGTTAGAAAAGATCCCTGCGATGATGATGGTGATGATAGGAATAGCTGAGTAACTCTTAAGTGCAGGTGCTGTTCTGAGCATTTTACTCGTGCTCCTCATGTCATCTCCACAGCAACCCTATGGCAGTGGTTCTCAAACTCCAGCATGCATCAGAATCACCTGAAGGCTCCTAAAGACTCAGATTGCAGGGCCCATCCTCCAAGACTGGGACACAGTTCCAGAATTTGCTTTCTTTTCTTTTTTTTTTTTTTGAGACAGAGTTTCGCTCTTGTTACCCAGGCTGGAGTGCAATGGTGCAATCTCGGCTCACCGCAACCTCCGCCTCCTGGGTTCAGGCAATTCTCCTGCCTCAGCCTCCTGAGTAGCTGGGATTACAGGCACGTGCCACCATGCCCAGCTAATTTTTTGTATTTTAAGAAGAGACGAGGTTTCACTATGTTGACCAGGATGCTCTCGATCTCTTGACCTTGTGATCCACCCGCCTCGGCCTCCCAAAGTGCTGGGATTACAGGCTTGAGCTACCGCGCCCGGCCCCAGAACTTGCTTTCTAACAAGTTCCCAAGAGATGCAGGTGCTACTGGTCAGGGACTCCCTGTTCAAAACCACTGCCCTAGGAGATGCGGGCTCTTAAATGCCCCATAGGTGAGGCTGCTCACGGCAGTGGGAGATACAAAATCAAGGGTGGGGTCAAGTTCCTTTCTAAAGTGAAGAAATAACCTAAATACATGTCAGGCCAGCAGGGCTTAGAAAATAATTTAACCTCCTTCACCTCCTTCCCCTCATCCCTCCTTTCAGCCTCCATCACTTGATTGGCAAACTGGACTCTGGGAGCCAGAGGGCACCAGAAAAAGTGGAATGTGAGGCTGCAGGCCATCAAGATGAAGCCCTGAGGCTCCCCTGGGGCCAGTCCCTCCACTTTGATGTAGATAAGCCTCAGCTAGTGTCAAGTGGAAAGGAGAAAAAGACAGGTGAGTCACTGTTAAAGAAACAGATTCACCTTATGTGGGTCCAGGAGCACGGCAAGTAGTTCTCACAGTAGGGGAGAGGAATTGTGCTCAACTCTGAATCCCACACAAGCCAGTTGGAATTATAGTCAAGGAGGAGAATAGGGGTTAGTGAATGGGAAATGACTAGGAAGGAACATCAGGGGTAAGGGAGGATTCCGGCTAAACTGACCTAACGGGATTCTCGCTGAGGACAGGCCAAGGTTATCTGACATCAGCTGTGGGATAAGGACCCTGATAAGTATATGGAGGATGGAGATTTCTGCTAGCTAAACTGCCACAGCAGGGTAATTTACTAAAACTGAACTTGACAAAAAGGGCACAGATGGGTCTAGCAGAGGGTTCAGAAGGCTGACTAATGTATGGTCAAACAAACAGCTTCGGTCACCACACAGAATGTACGCTGCTGGACACAGACTGGGCCTCAGCAATTTCCTGCCCCACCAGCTTCCAGGAGGGCATTTTGCCCTGTGCCTCGTGGGTGGGTGTTTCCTAGCTTGATCCTTTCTAGGAGATGAGAGACTTGCACCTTATCATCTAGGAGAAATTCAGTGTCAGATTTTTAAATCAGGTGAGACAGTGCTTTAGTGACAATCTCAGGTATTTTAAAAAAGTGAGGTTCATTCATTCACCAGTTCTAAAGGCACACATTATTCTTTTTTGTTGTTTTACAAAGTTTGAGACCATGTAAAAGAAAAAGAATGAAAAAATCAAGCAACTTGAATTTCTTACATAATCCCTTCAAAACCCCAAACCAGGAAAACCTTTCCAATATAAACTATGGAAATTCTGTTGATTACTGACCGCAGTCTGGTGGTTTATACCTATTTTCTTGTGTCCTGTTTCCTCCCTACTCCCACCCCTGGCCCCTCAGCAGTTGCTGCCTTCCTGTCTTGGTCTCACAGTCCACAAATCAGACCTGCAGCTATGATCCCAAGCGCTTCTAACCTTCATCCTCATATCCACGGGATCCCCTAAGGACCCAGCTTCTATTGTTGAGAACTAACCTACCTACTGAATAAGGAGTCTGATCTTTATTCAGAATCAATGCTAAGATACCACAGGAAATAACAAGTAAGAGTCCAGTATAGAACTCACAGGAACTAACAGTTTTTTATTTGAATCATTTTATGTATATATGTATGTCTCTCTCTCTCTCTCTCTCTCTCTCTCTCTCTCTCTCTCTATATATATATATATATATATATATATAGAGAGAGAGAGAGAGAGAGAGAGAGAGAGATGGAGTCTAGCTGTGTCACCCAGGCTGGAGTGCAGTTGCATGATCCTGGCTTACTGTAACCTCTGCCTCCTGGGTTCAAGTGATTTTCCTCCCTCAGCCCCCCAAGTAGCTGGGATTACAGGTACCCGCCACCACTCCCAGCTAGTTTTTGTATTTTTAGTAGAAACGAGGTTTTACTGTGTTGGTCAAGCTGGTCTTGAACTCCTGACTTCGTGATCCACCAGCTTCATCCTCCCAAAGTGCTGGGATTACAAGTGTGAGCCACCACACCTGGCCTCTTTTTTTTTTTTTTTTTGAGACATTCTTGCCCTTTCCCCCAGCCCTGGCTGGAGTGCAGGGGTGTGATCTCGGCTCCCTGCCACCTCCACCTTCTGGGTTCAAGCAGTTGTCCCTGCCTCAGTCTACCCAGTAGCTGGGATCACAGGTACCCGCCACCAAACCCAGCTAATTTTTATGTTTTTTTCTTTTTGAGTCGGAGTCTCACTGGTTGCCCAGGCTGGAATGCAGTGGCTCAATCTCAGCTCACTGCAACTTCCGCCTCTTGGGTTCAAGTGATTCTCCTACCTCAGCTTCCCGAGTAGCTGGGATTATAGACGTCCGCCACTACTCCTGGTTAATTTTTGTATTTTTAGTAGAGACCGGGTTTTGCCATGTTGACCAGGCTGGTTTCGAACAACTAACCTCAGGTGATCCACACGTCTTGGCCTCCCAAACTGCTGAGATTACAGGTGTGAGCCACCGTGCCTGGTCTATATTCATGTTTCTATTCACAGTATCTCCTACACAGTGTTTTCCTATTCTATGGGGAGAAATCAGGCAAATGGCAGAAGACAGGTCAGATCTCGGAAAGAGTTGCTCTGGCTTCCAAACAAGAGTTTACTGATGATAGATTTAGGGGTGAATATTAGGAATGTGGGGAGATGGGCTGGGCGCGGTGGCTCAGGCCTGTAATCCCGGCACTTTGGGAGGCCAAGGTGGGTGGATCACAAGGTTATGAGTTCAAGACCAGCCTGACCAATACGGTGAAACCCCATCTCTACTAAAAATACAAAAATTAGCCTGGCGTGGTGGCATGCGCTTGTAGTCCCAGCTACTTGGGAAGCTGAGGCAGATGAATCACTTGAACTGGGGAGGCAGAGGTTACAGTGAGCTGAGATCTGGCCAGTGCACTGTAGCCTGGGTACCAGAACTAGATTTTTTATTTTTAATGGAAGATGTCCTACAAAGTTAGCTCCTATGTTACCTAATGCACCAAGCAGCTTGTCCATAATTAGTTTAAAAGTATCTGTCAGGCTCCAAGCCCTCTTGCTATAAAAGCAAGATTACTGAGTTAATCTTAGATTTTAAAACGCATGTGCCTGTAGTTCTAGCTACTCGGGAGGCTGAGGCAGGAGAATTGGTTGAATCCCGGAGGTGGAGGTTGCAGTGAGCTGAGATCATGCCACTTTACTCCAGCCTGGGTGACAGAGTGAGACTCTGTCTCCAAAAAAAAAAAAAAAAAAAAAAAAAAAAGAATAAAGGAAATAGTTTTGTTTTTTACTATGCTAGGTATAAAATAATGGTATGGATTTCCTGCATAATTCTACGGCAAATTTGTCCATCTGAACTTGAATATGGAAGTTTTTAGTTGATTACTGAGTTCTTTTCCTCTTGATTTAGTTCTGGTGCTTTCCAGATGCAAAAGCACATTTCTATTGCTTACTGATGTCATCACTTATTCTGTAGTACAATCTTAGATTTGTGACTTCATTTATTAACTATAACAGCAGATTCATTGTCTTTTCATGTAGATATTATGGAAAGGTTCACCAAATGTAATTTTTAAAAATATTTGCCTGTCATTACATGGTACAATTTTCTAATTTTTCTATATAGAAAAATACTATTTAATTTAAATTTAAATTTTTTATAATTTTATAAATCTAAAGCCAAACATATTGTTTAACACCAAATAGATAACTACCCACCAGGCTTTCTGTTTTTTACAATTTATTGAATTGAATTGAATAAATTTGTTAATAATAAGCATTTATTAAATATTTACCTTGTACCAGGTGCCATCCTAGAAACTATCGATAACTTAATGATTAAACTCTTACATATGATGCTTTCTGCCATGTTAAGATGTAGCAAGAAGTCTCTCACCACCTGTGGCCCCTTGATCTTGGACTTTCTAGCCTCCAAAAGTCTTTTTTTTTTTTTCCAAATAAACTTTTATTTATAAGCTATGCAGTTTCTGGTGTTCTGTTAACACAACCTGGACTAAACATTCTTCACACATGTCCTTCACACACAGGTCCTGAAAAAATCACCACCATCATTTCAAGTGGTAAAGGGAACCCTGCCAGTGTGTGGAGTTCATGGGGCGTGACTTGGGGGCATGACTTAAAACAGATTGTAATCGTAATGCTTTATGTAAGCCCTATGGTAACTATAAAGCAAAAAAGCTACAGCAGATACTCAAAGACAAAGAAATCAAAACATAGGACAACAGAAAACCATCAAATGAAAAAAAGACAGCAAGAGAGGGTGGATGTGGTAACTCACGCCTGTAATCCTAGCACTTTGGGATACCAAGGCAAACGGATAACCTGAGCTCAGGTGTTCAGGACCAGCCTGGGCAACATCATGAGACCCCATTTCCACTAAAAACACAAAAATTAGCCAGGTGTGGTGGTGCTTGCCTGTAGTTGCAGCTACCTGAGGGGATGAGGTAGGAGGATTGCTTAGACACAGGAGGTTGAGGCTGCAGTGAGCTGAGGTTGCACCAAGGTACTCTACCCTGGGTGACAAAGTGAGACCTATCTCAAAAACAAAACAAAACAAGAGAGAAAGGAACAAAGGCTCATAAACAGCTAGAAAATAAAATGCAAAATGGTAGTAGTATATCCTTACCTATCCATAATAACCTTGAATGTAAAAGGGCTAAATTCACCAATCAAAGGACAAAAAGTGGCTGAATGGATACTGAAATAAGATCAAACTATATGCTGCCTATAAAAAACTCACTTTAGCTTTAAGGACTGCCGTGTTCTCTCTCATCCTCTTAAATGGTGATGTGAACACTGAATTTTGCTTTTTCCAAGGATGTTACCAAAGCATATGACACAAATGGAAAAGTAATGGGCTGAGCTCCCAACTCCCCATTAAAAAGATGTGGATATAAAGTATTAGTGAGGGAAAAAGGTTTAGCAATTTAAACTGATGGCAACTTGATGGTTTTTGTTGCATACGTACATATATAAATTTCAATATTTGTTTTCCTATACATTGTGGCTATTGTCTCTTTTTTTCCTGTTCCAGTAATTTTGATAGACAAATAAATTATACTACCAAATGAAATACTGCCCATGTCTCATTACTCAGCTCAACTTCACCTCACCTCACCAGTACTGTCATATCCATACCACTGATAAAAATGTTTCCCTTAGGAATATGGAATGGCCTCTATGAATTGAGTTCAGTCTCCTCTCAGAATCCTTGTTAAAATTCTACACTTAACTCAGAAGATGAGTCCCCCAAACATGGCCCAAGTCATGCCATGAACTCTACACACTGGCAGGGTTCCCTTTACCACTTGAAATGATGGTGGTTATTTTTTCAGGTCGTGACATGTGTGAAGAATGTTTAGTCCATTTTGTGTTAATAGAACACCAGAAGCTGCATAGCTTATAAATAAAAGTTTATTGAAAAACAAAAACAAAAACAACTTTTGGAGGCTAGAAAGTCCAAGATCAAGGGGCCACATGTGGTGAGAGACTTCTTGCTACGTCTTAACATGACAGAAGGTATCATATGTAAGAATGTACCCATGAGAAAGCACAAGAGGGCTGAACTTGCTTTTATAACAAAGTCACTGTCTTGATAACAAACCCACTCATAGGAGAGAAATTAATCCATTCATGATGGGAAAGCACTCATGACCTAATTGCCTCTTAAAGGTTCCACATCTGAACTCTGTTGCATTAGGAATTAAGTTTCCAGCACATGAACTTTGGGGGACACATTCAAACCATAGCAAACGTGAAACTTCATTCTTTTTGCCCACGATGAGGGCCAACTCAACTGCCAGTCTCTGAATCCTCTTTTCTTTTGGAAATTGTTGTGATGTGATTCTACTGTCTAGATAACTCAGAATGCAGTTCCCGTGTAAAATGCATCACGGGACACAGCTGAAATCACCTCCTGTGTAACATGGAAACAGAACTCAAGGCAAGAGTGGCCATTATATGCTGAAAAAAGCTACGTGGTGGGTGTGTGCTATCCTTCAATACTTGAAATAATTTTCCTCTAGAGTATTTATACATCTGGTGTGTAACTTCTATCCGGAAGTATAACAAAAAACCCAAGGCTGACAGTGCTCCTGCTTAGTTCTGGATTCTTCAGACTTCCAGCAGAGAGAAGCTGGAGATACATGGAGTCACGCAGGGACTCTCTGCGGAAAAGCAGTTTGTCGGGTACTCAACAGTTATAAACTGGGCTAAGTCATGTTAGCCAGCTGACAGGAGAATAAAAGGCTTGAGATTTAAAAATTTTCAGAAACGACCTTATCAGAGAATTAAAGAAAAATTGATGCTACTACAGTACAAGGAACTCCAACACCCCCACCACATCATGGCAGAGTCTCCTTTAGGCCTAATTTATCTTTTTGTTTTATGAGTTATTATTTTCTTTAGGCCCTTTTAAGAAACAGGCATTTATTTATTTATTTATTGTGTGTGTGTGTGTGTGTGTGTGTGTGTGTGTGTGTGTGTTTTTAAATAATACTGGTAAAATATTTAATGCCGATAATTACCTATTGCTCACTTATTAAGGAGTGACACAGATTAACTCAGAAAATTCCATCAAAAAGGATTATAGGCAATTACCCGCATTATGGTGATGAGGAAACTGAGACATATTAAAGGAGAACTGACTCTCCCAGGTCACAGCCATATGGGAAGAAAGGGAATGAATACTCAAGCACTGATGTCAATAAGCCATTTAGTAAACTGAGAACCTGCTAGGTCTCATAACATACTGGGGACCCTAAACTCACTTTTATTATTTTAAGAGTTAACTGTATAGAAGTGCACTTTATGCAATGTATACAAATTCTTAGTATATTCTGATGGGTTCTAAAAATGTATACAGCTTTGTAAACATCACCATTTATATATGGAACATTCCATCATAAAAAATTCCTTTCTTCCTCTCACCAGTGGATCCTCACACCCCACTGCCCCCAGCCTTAGGCAATGAATGGTCTACTTTCTTTCTATCCCTTTAGATTAGATGTCTTTCCTAGGATTTTATGTAAATAGGATATAACAGAGTCCACCCTCTTGTGCCTGGCTTCTTTTGCTCAACACAATCCTAAGATTTATCAGTGTTGCTGCATGCATTAGTAGCTCCTTCTTTGTACTGCTGTATTCCATTATACAGTAATATTACTGTTTATATATTTTTCTGTTGATATTCTAATTATTTACAATTTGGGTTTGAGTAAAGATTCTATGAGCATTTGCATATAATTCTTTGTGTTTCTCTGGGGTAAATGCCTAGAATGAAAATTGCTGGTTGTCGGTAAGGTATCGTTATCTTTACAAGAAACTATGAAATGGATGTGTATTGCTATCACACAAACATACACTTTCTTGCTGACCAAAGCTTTGGATATTGTTTCTAGTATTTATTGGCCAACTATATATCTTTAGTGAAATATCTATTTTAACATTTTCCTTTTTTGGTCCATTATAACTGCACTGTCTGTATTATAAACATTATTTTTCCTTTAAGAGACAGAGTCTTGCTCAGTTGCCCGGGCTGGAGTACAGTGGCATGATCACAGTTCACCACAGCCTCAAAGTCCTGGGCACAAGCATTCCTCCCACCTCGGCCTCCCAAGAAGCTAGGACTAGGACTACAGGCATGTGCCACTATGCTTCATTATTTTTTGTAGAGATGAGGTCTCATTATAGTGTCCAGGATGGCCTTGAACTCCTGGCTTCAAACAATCCTCCTGCTTTAGTCTCCTGAAGTGCTGGGATTACACAGGTGAGCCACCATACCCAGTCAGTTTCTTTTGTTTTCTAACATAAATTTTGAACTTTAGGTGATTTTGTTTTATCTGTGATTTATTCTGAATAAGTCTTGAATTATGGTGTAAAGATCAAGTTGCATTTACAATATATAAGTATCATTATTGATACAGTTTGGCTGTGTCTCCACCAAAATCCCATCTTGAATTGTAATCCCTATAATCCCCACATGTCAAGGGTGGAACCAGCTGGAGGTAACTGGATCATGGGGGACAGTTTTCCCTATGCTGTTCTTGTGATAGTGAGTCTCATCAGATCTGATGGTTTTACGGCATCTGGCATTTCCCCTGCTTGCACTCACTCCATCCTGCTGCCCTGCAAAAAAAGGTGCCTGCTTCTCCTTTGCCTTGTGCCGACTGTAAGTCTCCTGAGGCCTCCTCAGCCATGCGGAACTGTGAGTCAATTAAATCTCTTTACAAATTACTCAGTCTCGGGTATTTCTTCATACCAGTGTGACAATGGTCTAATACAATTATCTTAGCATCATTTTTGAAAATAATAATCATTTCCCCATCAAACTACCCTGGAACATTTGTCAAAAAACAACTGATGATGTTCAGTTATAACTCGGAGAAACAGAGAGCAGGAAAGAGCACTGCTTCTATCCATAAAACAAGAAGATGGTTGGGAAGACTTTAACTTTTCTTCAGTGCACCAGGTATCTGAGGTCACAGAGCAAAAAAAAAACTATCTTGAAAGCTAGGTGGTTGTAGAGAGAAATGAAGATCCAAGCAGTTGTTTAACTGAGAGAAAGAATGCCAAATGCCATGCAAAGTGACTCCAGTGGGAAAATTAGACAACATGCATTATCAGATAACTGTGGCAAAGAGGTAAAAACTATAATAAAATTTAAATGCTAAAAAAGAAAAACAAAGCACCATAAATGAAGAATGCCTTCCAAGGGTCCATTTTACACTCAACACTGCTAGGAAAGAATCAGTGATATAAATTTTATATATATATATATATATATATATATATATATATATATATATAAAATTTCCTTATATGTGTGAGACACACACACACACACGCACACACACAGAGAGAGAGAGAGAGAGAGAGAGAGAGAGAGACAGAGACAGAAAGACAGAGACAGAGAGACAGAGAGAGACAGAGAGAAATGTATTGGTGACACTGGCTTCTTTGAAAAGAGGCAGTTTAGTAACAATGGCCTTTACTAGACAGACATGTTAGAAGGCAGCAGGAGAAAGGGAATGTGGTATCAAGATATTTTCTGTAAAAGGTTTGTTATTAATACTCGTGGCAAATTGTAGCTGATGTTGGAGTAGTTATAAAGCAAGAACACAATTCTCTTACAGTAATGTTGACTTCTAAGATACATAAAACAAATACCTGGTAAGTAGCATGCACATATACGAACATAAACAATCAGTAACTCACAAAATAGTCACATATTGCGACGCTGCTTTTCAGTTTATGCAGTTTATTTCTTGTTCGTTTTAGGCTTTTTATGATAGTGAATGTCTATCAATATGTCACTTCATTAAAGGTTTTGATATTATATATTAAACAACAGTTCTCATATAGCAGTATCTAGATAAAAGCTATTACTTACCTTTCTCAAATGGATAGATTTTCCCCTTGAAACAAGCTCTGATATAAAATACGATAATTTTTGAAAACATTTACACATTCAAAAGTAAATTATCAGATAGTTAATGGAATTTTGGGTATGTATGTGTGACTGTGTGTCTGTGTGTGTGAAGAATTTCCTCCGTTTGTTAAAATGTCAGATTTCGTCTGATATTACCTGACTGACGTGGAAGACCTGGGGATAGAAGTTAGGGTCACTCAGGATGCTGTCGGACATCGGTCCTATGTGACTTTTCTGACATACACTGAGTTCAGATATCCTGAAAAATCATACTCGTATGTTTTATTACATGAGTGTTGTTGAGTTTCTGTCAGTATCAAGAACACCCAAACCTTTAGAAGCTCAGGAGGGAACAAATTTGTTTCCTCACTGCAAAAAGTCCAACTGTGTACATGGAGGAAAAAACTCCATGCCACAGGGTCCTTCTCTGACCTTGATTCCTACAATCTTGTTTTCCATCATGAGAACCTGAGTCCCAAGGTTTTCCTCCATTTCGTTGTAATGAGGGATAGGAGAAAATATTGACAATTTGACTGATGTACTTAAGACCTGTCTGTAATTGACCCCCATATTCCACTAGCTAGAGGGTAACAATATGATCCCATTTAGAAGATAGAGTGGTTGAGCATTTAGGACAGGTGTGGCATGAGGGAGAAGTGAAAACGATTACTAGTAAATATTTCAATAGTTATTATATAGGGATTACCTCTGTGTAAGTTAAAATGAGGGTTGACATGGCAGAAGAATTTCCCACATCCATTATCTTCATTTCTTGCTTAATATACTATGAGGTCTCTATCCCGTATGTATTTTCTGCTGTACTGACTTCTGGCTAAAGTTTACCACACACTTATTACATTCTAGCTTTTCTCATTGTGTGACTTCTTTGATTATGAATGAGTTTTGATCGTTGGCACAAAGTTTCAAATCTTTATTACTTTCTCAGAGCTTTTCTGCAGCATGAGTTTTTTGAGGAATGAGTTCACAAAAGTATTTTCCATATTCATTATCTTTATAGGGTTTCTTTGCTGGGTGAGCTCTCTAATATCCATGGAAGATTGCACTCTGGCTGAAAGAATTTCCATGTAAAACACATTTCAACAATTTATCTCCTAAGTTCTTTGATGTTTGGTGGAGGCTAAAATTGTAGAGGAAATGCTCACTACATTAACAGTTCTCTCCTGTGGGTTCATTTATGTATTGTGAGGTTTAATTTCCAGCTCAGAGTTTTTTCATATTCTTTATATGCACGTTTAATCCTGAGTGGGCTTTCTGATGTTCTCTAAGGCTTGATTTTTGACTGAAAGTTTTCCCACATTTATCACACTTATAGGGTTTCTCCCCTGTGTGAGTTCTCTGATGTACTCTGAGATTTGATTTCTGACTGAAAGCTTCCCCACATTGATTACAATTATATGGTTTCTCCCCAGTGTGAATTCGCTGGTGTTTTCTTAGGACTGACTTCTCACTGAAAGCTTTTCCACATTCATTACATTCATAGGGCTTCTCCCCAGTGTGAGTTCTTTGATGCCCTCTGAGATTTGATTTCTGCCTGAACGTTTTTCCACATTCCTCACATTTATAAGGTTTCTCCCCAGTATGAGTTCTGTGATGGACTCTGAGGTTTGATTTTTGACTGAAAGCTTCCCCACAATGATTACATTTATAGGGTTTTTCCCCTGTGTGAATTCTATGATGTCCTCTGAGTTGGGATTTCTGACCAAAAGCTTTTCCACACTGATTACATTTGTAGGGCTTCTCCCCTGTGTGTGTTCTATGATGTTTTCTTAGGCCTGATTTCAGTTTGAAAGCTTTCCCACATTCATCACATTTATATGGTCTTTCCCCTGTGTGAGTTCTTCGATGATTCCTTAGGCCTGACATATGGCTGAAAGATTTCCCACATTCACTACATTCAAAAGGTTTCTCCCCTGTGTGAGTTCTTTGATGTACTATAAGGATTGACTTATAGTTAAAAGACTTCCCACATTCATTACATTCGAATGGTTTCTCTCCTGTGTGGGTTCTCTGGTGTATTCTTAGGCCTGACTTTGCACTGAAAGCTTTCTCACATTCATCACATTTATATGGTTTCTCTCCTGTGTGAGTTCTCTGATGTTTTCTTAGACGTGACTTCTCACTGAAGGCTTTCCCACATTCATGACATTCATAGGGTTTCTCCCCTGTGTGACTTTTCTGAGGCCAAATCAAGCGTGAATTCATAGAGCAGGATTTTGCACATTCATTACACTCATAGGGTTTTGCCCTTATGTGAGCTTTCTGATGTACACTGAAAGTTGACTGGTAGCTGAATGTCTCTGTACATGTGTTATAATCAGATGATTTATCTGTTGCATGAGTTCCCTGATACAGTGGGAGGGCTGAATTATGGTTGAAACTTTTTCCATATTCAAAGGGTTTCATCCCTATACGAATTCTATGATGTTCTCTAATGTGTGACTTTGGGCTAAAAGATTTCCCTTCTGTATCAGTTTTGTGAGTGATCCTACAGAAACAATTTCCAGTATCTTTAAACTCATAGTGACTCTTCTCTTGATGAATGTTCTGAGGAATAATAAAGGTTGATTTCTCGTATTTGTTTTCCCCAAATTTATTGAAGTTGTAAGATTTTCCTTTATGGTGGGTACTATTAGACGTAACAAGGGCAGCCTTTTCAAGAAAAGCTTTTCTACTTCCATTATATTCAAAATCTTTCCCCAAAGTCTGAATTATCTGATGTTGAATAACTTTTTCCTTATGACTGAGGGTTTTCACAATTTTACTGTAAGTGAAAGATTTCTCTTGAGTGTTAGTTCTGCCATCCTTAATATTGATGAGCCATTTGTCACATACATCATGCTCATGAGCCTTCTCTTTTGAATATTGACAGTGTGGGGCCAATGGGCTCAGACCCTGGTAACCAGACCCCACAGTGTCACATTTACAAGGCATCATTCTGGCAGGAAAAATGTTTATGTCCTGATTATGTGCTTTTCCTGAAATTTCTTGCTCTGTAGTCAATAATTTATTGGTGAATAAAACTTGCCACCAATGTTTGCCTTGATTTTCTTGACTCTTCTCTGAGATTTCATCGGGTTGGGAGTCTTCTAAAAATGATAAAATTAAACAAACTTTATGATATTTAACACATTTCTTATGGAATGGAATATACACCTACATATGTGCCCTATTATGTATTTGATTCCTTAGTTTCTGGCTCGGTTTCCCAGCAATAAAGTAATTTCAAGTATACATTCCCTATATTCCCTTTTTAGTTTAAAATTTCTTTTTGTAGTAGAAAATGCAATGGGCAACAAATATACATATGTATTTGGCATCTTAAAACAGAATTTCAAAATTGAATAGAGAAGATTGAAATGACTAAAAATGGTGTATATGCAAGAGCACTGGATCCTGGAAACAGGCAAATCAGAGAATGGGATGAATAAAATAAGGATTACCAACACGAAGTAGATAATAACAACAAAAATCAATGGATTCGTGGTTTTATCTGAGACAGGGTTTACCTTAGGGAGTAACACTAGTCTAGATTCTTAAAGAAATATAAATTGCAATGGTAGGATAATCATTAGGCTACAATAGTCCATTGGAGCTCCATTTCCATTCTACACATCAACACAAAATCAATTTATAATGGCACCAATTTCCTCACGTTAAAAGAAATAGTACTATTTCTTTTAAATAGTACTATAGACCACATTTTAATTCTGTCTGTAGTATCATCAAAGGAACACAAATGTGTAAGTGGAAACATAAAATTGATGGGAATTAAAGTCATTTTTCTACCTAAATTGGATTCACTGCTCTGCCCTAGGTCTGGTGACTTCGTTTATTATATCAGGGTTGTTCAATATTGAATTCTTTTTGTTTTTTGAGATGGAGTCTCACTCTGTCTCCCAGGCTGGAGTATAGTTGTGTGATCTCGGCTCACTGCAACCTCTGCCTTCTGGGCTCAAGCAATTCTCCTGTCTCAGCCTACTGAGTAGCTGGGATTCCAGGCATGTGCCAGCATGCCCAGCTAATTTTTGTATTTTTAGTAGAGATAGGGTTTTGCCATGCCAGCCAGGTTGGTCTCAAACTCCTGACCTTAGGTGATCTGCCAGTCTTGGCCTCCCAAAATGCTAGGATTACAGGCGTGAGCCACTGCACCCAGCCAATAGTGAATCTTTTTAGATTCTCAAATCTTAACTTTTGTCTTTTCAATTTGCTCACTCACTTCCCCCAAACAAGTCTTGCTTTTGTCTAATCCTTAATTGTGCTTTCCATCTACTTTTTGACATTGCTAGTTTTTACTGACTGTAAAGAACCTTAAGGATCATATATTTTAACCTGGACTTAGAAACTTTACAAGTATTCTTTATATTTATTTTTCTAAATTTCTTGTGTATATTTGACTGCTGTTGCCTTACTGCTACCCACATTCCATGCAAAAATGTCAGCCCTGTGCTAAAAATATTCCAAGGCCGTAAATACACTGCCCTAGTACCCTGAGCGACATTCAGGAAAAGGAGATTTTACACAAACCGCAGGTTTCTTACTTGTCCTAGCTCTCGCTGCAACACCTCAGTCTTTTCTGCTCTAGTCTTGACAGGATATCATCTGCAAATAGTTTTTTTCTACTTTTCTAAAATAATAATAAGATTATTTTCAGCAATCATCTTATATTCTTTCCCTGAACCACTTTGCTTTTTAGCCTTAGACCTATGTAGACTCTAGATGCCCTTCAGGCAATGCAAAGCATTTCCCAAACTACACGCACAAAAAAGGCTTCTTGTGTCTTCCCACAAACATAAGGAATGTTTATTTAAAATCTGAAAGTAGTTACTGTCTATATTATTCATTTTAACAAGGCATATATAGATAGTACTCATATATCTGACATGATTTTTTAAGCAAGTTAGCATGATTCAAATTAGGAAGCATTTTAAAACTTACAGCATCTGCACAGTTAAATGGCATTTTCTCTTTCTTGGTTGTATGTAAAATAATAGTTGATTTTTTTGATCAATAGCAAAATTATTTTAAGCAGCTTTGTTCTCTTTTCCAAAATACAAGCTTCATTCTGATATACTTTATACTCTTGTAATATAAATGAAGTCAGTGACTCCTAAAAAGCAGTGTGTCTCAAAATTACCTCCTCTCTCCTACACAGGTGCTCAGAACCAATGCTAACCTATACCCGATTATTCAAAAGTCTCAGAAATTTGATTTGGGTGTATGCATTTAGGGATAATGTTTTTTGAATGAATCAATATGAAATACCTCTCCCAAGTGGCTTTGAAGTTAATACACAATATTATTAAAAATACTTATATGTTATATTGCATGGACTCAATAGAGCAAAGCAGAGAACCATTCTTTTTAGTGGATTATAATCTAGGTGGGAATGGAGTTCATTCAATAACTGTGTGCTCTCTGGCACAGTGTTTCACTTTGTTTTAATACATCTATCAAAGACTGTGATTTTACAGATAGAAGAGATAAAGCATACACGAAAGTATTCCAAACTGTACCATAGAAGAAGGAATTTAAATCAAAACTTCAAATGAGTAATAGTGCTTTCCCCCCTTTTCTAGTTGAGATTATCTATTTTAATCAATTATTTTTATTCCAAGAACCATTTCTGGCTTTAAAATTTATACTACTGTAGTCTTATTTTTATTACATCATAAACTTTCTCACTTTTAAAAACAAGTATATAAGACTAAAACCTTTGTCTCTGTCTCTCTCTCTCTCTCTCTCTCACCCCCGCTCTCCCACGGTTTTCACCATGTTGGCCAGGCTGGTCTCAAACTCCTGACCTCCGGTGATCCACCTGCCTTGGCCTCCCAAAGTGCTTGGATTACAGGCATGAGCCACAACACGCGGCATACTAAAAGTTTTTCTAAGCACTGCTTTATCTATGTCCCAAAGGTTCTAATATGCATGTTTTTTACCTTTTAAATTTTCTGGATATTGGACAATTTTGATTTTCATTTACTCTTTGATTAAATATGTTTTTAAAGATATATATAGATATAGATATATTCCGTACTGATTTTAAGACAGAGATACTTTAATTCTTCTCATATTGTTTGCAATTTATAGTTTTACTGGACAATAATATTTTTACTTTGTGGAATTTATTGATATTTGCACGAAATATTTTTATATATTGTCAATGTCCCATGATCATTTTAAAGAGGGTTTATTCTTTGTTTCCAGAGTAGAGTTTTGAAAGACACATCAGATTCATTTTTATAAAATGTGTTATTTATAACCTCTAGTGCAGGAATCAGTAAAATATTTCCATAAAGAGCCAGAGAGTAAATGCCTTCCACTGCACTGATCATGTGGTCTCTGTTGCAACTACTCAATTCTGTCTTGTAACATGAGCACATAAATGAATAGCTATGGCTGTGTTCTAGATAAATCTTTCCTGGCCAAACTAGGCAGCAGGTAGAATCTCACCTTTGCCCTCGTTTGCTGAGCACCAGTCTAGGATTTTAGCTGTGATCCACTAGCTCTGGTATGAAATCAAAGAGGTAAATTAAAGTCTATGCTACCTAGTATGTTTCCATTTTTCCTCAGAACACTTGCAGTTTTTTGTTTTATGAAACCTGATAATTTAGTGCACAAATATTCAAAACCCTAAATACATTTTAAAACTGTCTACTTTTAAAATACCCTTTTACAACTGTCTACTTCAGCATTATCAAAATGCTGTTTCTCTTCTCTGTTTTCTGACCTGAATTTAACTTTAGTGTTAGTTAGCTACTGAGTTTATGAAAAGAAGAGCTAAAGTATAGGATAAAGTATTCCAAGATTATGTCACGGAAGTAGGAATTTAAAGCAAATAAACACTGAATTATTTTAGTTTATTGCCTTGGCAATTCATAACCGTATTTTGAACTTAACAAATTACTTTTTAAATACACCTCTTTAACAAAATCTAATAGCATTTTCTCTTAGTAGGTGAATTTATTCCAGTTACATTAGTTGATATGGCAAATATGTTTATCTTACTCTATGTTATGCCAGGGATTTGCATAGCTTTTGTGTACACAGGAGTTGATAGAGCAGGCCTGAGACGGCTATTCCTAGAAAGGCTTTCTTCAAAGATTTGCCCTTAGCTGGCATCTAGAAACAAGATTCCCGTAACTGCTGGGGAGCTCACTGTGCTAGTCCTGTACAAATAATACGATAGAGAACAGCAGTTTCCCATCTTAAAATCTGGAATTTTGGCACATGCTAGACAGAAGGTGTCTACATGGTTAGTCCACAATAAAAACCCTGGGCACCAATTCTGGGGAGAAAACATTTCACATGTGTTTTCAGAATTCATTGCTTAGGGAACTGTGCTTGGGGAACTGTATGAACTCTCAGAAACTTGTTTGTTTCCTATGAACTTTGCCCCACGTACCTTTTATCTTTGCTGATTTTTCTTTGTATCTTTTCACTGTATAAATTTTAACCATTATTATGACTATATGCTGAATTGTGTGAGTCCTCTTAGTGAATCAATGAACCTTCTGCTCATTGAATTCGGTAACTCACCTGGGGAGGTCCTGCTTAGAAATCCTTTCTCTTTCTCTAATAACCATGGATCTTCTCCTTGCTCCAACGTGAAGATCAGTTCTGGTTTTGTAAAGCAGTATCCTATAAATGGGAAATAATTTATCAATTGCATTACTTGCATAGGTCCTACTGTTTCTGAATGTGAAAAAGGTACAACTTTTTTCTACACAAAAGCTATGCAAATTCAGCTAGGCATATTAAGGGTGCTCACTGGACCTTCTTTGGGGAAATAACAACAAAAAACATTTTCTTTATTTTCTTACTTTTTCTTTTCTTTTTTAGATACAGGGTCTCTATGTCACTCAGGCTGAAGTACAGTGGTGCGACCATGGCTCACTGTAGCCTCAAACTCCTGGGGTCAAGTAATCCTCCTGCTTCAGCCTCCTGAGTAGCTGGGACTACAAGTGTGCACCAACATATCTAGCTAATTTTTTTAAGGTTTTTTTTTTTTTTTTTTTTTTTTTTTTTGTAAAGACAGAGTCTTACTATATTACCTAGGCTAGTCTCGAACTCCTGGCCTCAAGCAATCCTGTCACCCTGACCTCCCAAAGTGTGGTGGCATGAGCCACTGCACCTGGCCAAAAAACATGTTCTTATTCTCATAAATGATCAATCTCCTTGAACTCCTAAACTGCAGACCTAAATAACATAAAATTCAAAAATGGCCAATGTCTTGGGTGTCAAGGAAGAGATTTCATGAGGACTTCCACATATGGACATAATAGGGTAAAATGAACTGATTTACTGCTCCATAACATATCTCTAAAAAACCATACAAAATATAAAAAATGGTAATTAGGTTTTAGCCAAGAGGCTATGCAGATGGTGAGTCAGGAGGATTGCCTGAGGCTGGAAGTTCAAAACCAGCCTGGGCAACACATAGAGAGACTGGAAAATAATAAACAGAGTTATCTGTGCCCTGTGGTTAAATACATGTGTAGTCTAACATATGTGTAATCAGCATTCCAGAAGAAAAAAAGGAAAAGGAGAAAAAATGTTGAAGAAACAGTGGCCAAAATTTTCCAATTTTAGTGATGTATATAAACTGTCAAATCCAAGAAGCTAAATAAATGCCAAGAAGAAACATAAAGAAAATCACACCAAATGGACATTACGATCAAACTGCCAAAAACTGCTGAAAAAAGTACATTTTATGCAGACAGAAAAAGTCACGTGCAGAAGAACAAAAAGAATTAAAACTGACTTCTTGTTAGAAATTTTACAGTCGGGAAGATAATGACGTGACACTTAAAGTACTGAAAGAAAAAACAAAATCAACCTAAAATTCTATACTTAGCAAAGGTAAGATGTTTCAGACTTAAAAAAAAAAAAAGCTGAAACAATGTATCAGCAACTGATGTGTATTACAAGATATTTTAATTTTCCAGATGGAAGAAAAATGGTACTATGGAAATTTTTGATTTAGAGATAAAGAGAACCATAAACTGAAAAAAAGAGAATGAAAATAAAATACACTTTTCTCATGTTTGGAATTCTTTTCTTTAAATAGTACATTATCTTTCAAGTCATCTTTTTAAATGTTATTTACTATGGGTTTTATAATATATAAATAGCACACAGAAAAATAAATTATGGATAATGATAAAGGGAATAATTAACTAAGAGAATGTAACAATCACAAATGTTCTTCCATCTCATAATACTACTTCAAAATACACAAAGCAAACTCTGATGAAACTGGAAGAATAACCAAATCCAAAATTGTAGCTGGACGGTAAAACTCTTTTCTCAATAATTTATGGAAGTAGATTACAGATAAATGAGGAGGACAGAAGACTTGAAGAATATTATCAACCAACACGACCTCCATTTATAGAACATTGATCCAAAAGGAAAACACATTATTTTCAAAAACATATGGAACAAGTACTTAACCAAGATAAATAAATACAATGGGCCCTGAAATGAGTTTAAATAAACTTTAAAAGGATTAAAAAATGTTGCTCTCCAAATAGGAATTAAATTAGAAATCAATAATAGCAAAACAATTTTCAAACAGCCAAAAATTTAAAATTAAAAAGCCATATTCTATTAGAAATATGGAGTAGAGGTACTTTCTCCTAGCCTTTCTGGTAAGTATAGCGAAAAACTATGGATATTGTATATTTAAAAACATACTGAAAGGTAGAGAGAAGACAGCAGATTGTTCAGGGACCTTAGGACTCAAGGAATGACAGTGATGAGTTCCCTGTATTTTCTCTTTGGCTTCACATATTCCAAAGCAGAAGCTGGAGAAGCTGGCAACAAGCAACATGAATGTGAAGGTGAAAAAACAAAACAAACACAAAACCCAAAGCTTGTGCTCTCAAGCCAGAGCTTCAGGAAAGAGGCAGCCTACGAAGATTGAAAACCTTTAGACAGTAACTGTTCTTGTTTCAGCCAAACACAAAATAAAAAATACATTCTCCACCTCTATGGCTGCCATGAAGGGCCAAGTGGGGAACTCAAGTGTCTATGCTCACCAGGCTCTGAGAAGGCTCCCTTACTCCTCCACCAGGGTTCATGTCAGAGTCGGTTGACTGGGGCTTGAGACATGTCGCCAAGCCAGACAGTGACAAGGTCCCCTGCCCCACAGTTTGTCAGTAGAAGCCCCTCGGGGAGCAGTAATGAAGCACTTCTGATGCTGGGTGTTATCAGTGAAGGCCCAATGGAGATCCTGAACTGCCCCACTACCATTCAGCAGTAATGACAATCGCCCCCTACTCCAGGTGCCAACAGAGGCTGAGTAGGGAACTTGGATATTCAGCCCAACTTTTAATAATAAGACAGCGACCCACCCCTCCCTGCCACACTGGTGTCAGAGAATGCCTGCTATGTGAAAAGATTTAAATAAGACACAGATATTATAACTTCCGAAATGTATAGGTTCAATCTAAAATCACTTGTCATACCAAGATCTAAGACAACTTCTACTTGATTGAGCGAAGACAATCCATTGATGCCAACACGGAGATGGCACAGAAGTAGCTGACAAAGACTTTAAATAAGCCATCATATAAAAATTTAAATAAACAATAAGAAACATGAAACAAAAAAAGTTTCAGCAAAGAAAGAGAAGATATATGACACAGGTATTTTAGAGTTGAAAAATAACTAAATACTCAATGTATGGGTTCAACAGCAGAATGAAGAAGACAGGAAAGAATCCATGAATTTTAATATAGAAGAGTAGAAACTAACTAATCTGAACAAAGAAAACAGACTAAAGCCACAGAGACCTGTGAGACTATAACACATATCTAATAATTGTGTCATAGAAGTTTCAGAAGGAGAGGAGAAGAAGGTGGAGTTGAAAAGTATTAGAAGAAATGACAGCTTACCATGTTAGTGATTGCCATGAGTTAAGGGATAGTAAAAGGAGATGGGGTGACTTTATATAATGGGGCAGGACAAAGCTCTTTGTGGTGACTGAATAGTTCTGTTTACTTGACTGTAGTTGTGGTTACATCAATCTGTACATATGATAAATAACAGAGAACTATATACCTGTTGGCCAGTGTGAGCTTCCTGATGCTGACATTGTACTACAGTTGCGTAAGATGTATCTTTTGGAATGCTGAAGCATTTAGAAAATTGCTGTCTTCTTAGAAGACTGACATGTAACATCACTCTGTTAACCTATAATTTTCTGTGCTCTGAAGTCTACTTTTTCGGATATGAACATAGCCAATCTTACTTTTTTATGGTAATGTTCCATGGTATACCTTTTATTCTTTTACTTTCAATCTATCTATAATTTTTTAAGTGAATTTCTTGTAGATGGCATATATTTAGGTGAATTTTAAAAACCAACTCTTTCAATCTATATTATTATATTATACTTTAAGTTCTGGCATCCATGTGCAGATGTGCATGTTTGTTACATAGGTATAACACATGCCATGGTGGTTTGCTATATCCATCCCCCTGTCATCTACATTAGGTATTTCTCCTAATGTTAGCCCTCCCCAATCACTCCACACCCTCCTATCCCTCTTCTAGACTCCCCATCCCACAACAGGCTGTGGTATGTGATGTTCCCCTCCCTGTGTCCATGTTTTCTCATTGTTCAGCACCCACCTATGAGTGAGAACATGTGGTGTTTGATTTTCTGTTCTTGTGTCAGTTTGCTGAGAATGATGGTTTCCAGCTTCACCCATGTCCCTGCAAAGGACATGAACTCATCCTTTTTATGGCTGCATAGTATTCCATGGTGTATATGTGCCACACTTTCTTTATCCAGTCTATCTTTGATGGGCATTTGGGTTGGTTCCAAGTCTTTGCTATTGTGAACAGTGCCGCAATAAACATACGTGTGCATGTGTCTTTATAGTTGAATGTTTTATAATCCTTTGGGTATATACCCAGTAATGGGATTGCTGGGTCAAATGGTATTTCTAGTTCTAGATCCTTGAGGAATCGCCACACTGTCTTCCACAACGGTTGTACTAATTTAAACTCCCACCAACAGTGTAAAAGTGTTTCTATTTCTCCACATCCTCTCCAGTATCTGTTGTCTTCTGATTTTTTAATGATCACCATTCTAACTGGTGTGAGATGATATCTCAATATGGTTTTGATTTGCATTACTCTAGTGACCAGTGATGATGAGCTTTTCTTCGTATGTTTGTTGGCTGCATAAATGTCTTCTTTTGAGAAGTGTCTGCTTATATCCTTCACCCATTTTTTGATGGTGTTTTTTTTTTTTCTTGTAAATTTGGTTCAGTTCTTTGTAGATTCAATAATATATATTCACTTGGTCCACTTCCACATCTTGTACCATATTCCTTCTTGTTTTCTTTGTTGCAGGTGTACTGGTTCTTTTTTAGGACTCTGTACTCACTATCTTCTCTTCTACCACCAGAGGTCTCTGTGCTTGTACTTTTCTATGCTTAGAATGTTTACATTTCCTTATTTAGCTTAGACTTAGACTTCCTTAGGGCTTTTCTCAAGCACCACTTAACACTTTCTTTGAATTTGAAATTTTTCTTTTAAAAAGCAAATTCAGTAAACCCCTCCCCTCATATATCCTTCACCCAGCTTCAAAAACTATCACAATTTTTTTTAATACAAATGTTTTCTTGACTTCAGAAACTCTTCAAATTACCCTATGAAAATTGAGGCTGTGCTATTAAATAACTTGAGAACTGCACTGGTGTTTATCAAATAGTGGATATTAACTAGTTGTTAAGTTTTAATTGCATTTCTTCACATCTCATACTGTATGAATGAGTGTTCAAAGAGGAAGAAATATTAGAAGACATAAATAAGAGACATGTCTTAGTAACCTGATATGCAATTTGTATGATACAGTTAAAGCAGTGCTGAGTTTTTAATGGCACTAAATGTGTACATTAGAAAAGAGGAAAAGTCTCAAATTAATAGTCCATGATCTCACAATAAAAGACTAGACAAAGAAGAGCACAATAACATAAGCAAAAGTAGAAAGTAGAAATTAATTAAATTTTTAAAAAACAAAAGAGAAAAATCAATGAGAGAAAAATCTGGTTGACTGAAAAGAGCAGTAACATTGTAAAACTTCTAGGAAGAGTGAACAAAAAAATAAAAGAGCAAGAAGACAGAAATGACCAATACAAAGAAGAAAACAGGTCTATAAATACAGATTCTCAAGACATCAAAATGATAATCATGGAATGGTCTGAATATCTTTACACATATAAGCCTGACAACTTAAATGGACTAATTGTTAGAAAAGCAAAAATACCACAATTCACCCAATATATATAATTTGAGTATCCATATATATGACTTAAAGGAATTGATTTGTAAAGCTCCCCAAAAAGATGTCTCTAGGCCCAGATGGTTTCATCAGATAACTCTACCAAACATTTAATGAAGAATAAACACCACTTCCATACAACCTCTTACAGAAGATTGGAAGGAACATTTTTTAACTAATTTTATGAGGCCAGACTTATCCTGATATGAAAACTAGACAAAGGTAGTACAAAACTACAGACTGATTTTCCTCATAAGTGCAAAACTACTTAACAAAGTATTAGCAAATAGAATCAAACAATAAATAAAAAGAATTCTATGACATTACCAAGTAAGGTTTATTCCAAGTATGCAAGGCTGTTTGAACATTTAAAAACGGGTCCACATTAATGTTGTAATGAAGAAAAACCATGTAATCACAGTAGATACATAAAAAGTAATTGACAAGATTCAATATCCATTTGTAATCAGTATTCTCAGAAAACTAGGAATACAGTAGGAGTTCCTCCATTTGATGAAGAATATCCACAAAGGATCTGCTAAGATCATTTGGTGAAAGACTAGATCCTTTCCCCTTAAGGTTGTGAACAAGGCAAGGATGACTACTCTTACCACTCTTATTCTACACAGTGCTAGAAGTCCTAGCCAGTGTAATACAGCAAGAAAAGGAAATAAAAAGCATGCAGATTAGAAAGGAAAATAGTAAACTGATCCTATACATAGACGACATGATACCTTACATTAAAAAAAAAACCCAAGGAATCTACAAAAACCTTCCTAGAAATTTCAGCAAGATCTCAGCATAAAAGAACAAACATAGAAAAATCAATTACATTTCTATAAACCAGCAACCTTTGTATGCAAACAGAAATTTAAAACACAATGCCATTAACAATTACTCAACCAAATGAAATACTGACTTCTAAATCTAACAGGCACAGGACTTTTATACTGAAAACTACAAAACACTGAAGCAAGAAATCAAGATCTAAGTAAATGGAGATATATATTGTGTTTATGAATTATAAGATTCAAAACAGTAAAGATGTTAACTGTCACAAAACTGGTAACTTACAGCCTTAATTCCTATCAAACACCCAGTAAGATTTTCATATAATGAAATTATTACAGTATGTATATGCAAGGGCAAAGTAACTAGAATAGCTCAAACAATATTGAAAAAGAAATATAATGTGGGAATATAATAGTTTCATATAAGTACAGCCAACTGATTTTTGAGACAGGTGAAAAAGCTATTCAATAAAGGGTAATGGTGCTGCATAGAGCAAATGGATATCCATAGGCAAAAAAAACCTTAAACTTCATGCCCTATACAAAAATTAACTCAAAATGTACCATAATTTAAATGTAGAATATATTATACAATTTTTTAAAATAGGAGAAAATCCTTGGCTCACTTAGTGAAGAGTTCTTAGAAATGACAACATTTTTACAAAACTGATAAATTGGACTTAAAAAAATGAACAGAAGCCATGAATAGACATTTTACTGTCTAAGAATATATAGATGGCATATGAACAAATGAAAAGATGATTATCAGTAGCCATTAGAGAAATACAAATTAGGACCATTATGAGATACCACTATTATTCAACCACTAATACATAAAATAGCAACAATGTCTAGTACCAGAAAGGATAGGGAATAACTGGGTCCCTCATACGTTGTGGTGGAAATACAAAATGGTACAGCAACTCTAGGAAATAGTCTGCTATTTTCTTAAACAATAAAATATAACTTACCATACAATCCAACAATCACACTCCTTGGTACTTATCCCAGAAAAGAAAAGCTTATGTTCACAAAAAAATCTGAACATGAATGTCCGCGTCAACTTTATAATAGCCCCAAACTGGAACCAACCAAAACGTCCTTCAATAGGTCAATGGCTAAACAATGACATTCATATAGTGAATCCTATGTAGCAATAAAAGGAATGAACTATGGATACACTAAAACTTGGATCTCGAGAGCATTTTTCTGAGTGACAAAGCCAGTCTCAACACATCAAATACTATATGATTCCATTAATCTAACAGTCTCAAAATGACAAAACTATAGAGCTAGCAGATTAGTCAGCAGAGATTAAGGACAATGTGGGAGAGGGTATGGGTGTGACTATAAATGGATAGCACCAAAGAGATCTTTGTGGTGATATAACAGTTCTGTATTATAATTGTAGTGGTTACCTTAAATCTCCACATGTGATAAAATGGCACATTGTACCAGTGTCTGTTTACTGGTGTTGATACTGTATTGTAGTTATGTAACACGTAACCTTTGGGGGAAACTAAGGTGAGGATACAATTTTTGCTAATTCCCATAAATCTAATTATTTCAATATAAAAAAGATTTCTTAAAATATACGTAAAAAATTAGAAACAGAAAAGATTTTCTCTTTAAAAAGGGAACCCAGAGATAGCAAGAAAAAGCCTGTAAAACACATATCTAATAAAGGTCTGAACGTCTTCAATGAAACAAACAATAATATTAAAAACTAAATGAAACAAAAATGAGCTAAAGATTTGATTGGTCACTTAAAGAAGATTTACGAATGGCTAAAAAGCACATAAAAAGAGGTTCAATGCTGTCAGTCATCAGGAAAATGCAAATTAAAACCCAACTAGAACTGTTAAAAACAAGATTTTCCAAATAATGGTGACCAAAGAGTAATGAGAACTCACAGACATTATTCATGAAAATGAAAAACTGTGGAGCTAGTCAGAAAATACTTGGAATTTTCTTATGAAGTCATAGACAGATAAACTTATCAGAAGACCTGGCAAGCCCACTCCTAGTTACTTACACAAGAGAAATGAAAACATATGTTGACACAAAGACTTGTTGTGAAAGTTCAAAGCAGCTTTATTTATAAAAGCCCCAACTGGGGAAAAAAAAATACGTTTACCAACTGATAAAGGGTAACAAACTACAGTATATGCCCACAAAGAAGCAATACTTAGGATAAAATAAACCATTTATACAAACATGTGCATAAGTCTCAAAAGCATTATGCTAAAGAAAAGCCAGACAAAAGGGAGTATATGATTTGTGATTCCATTTATATGAAATCTGAGAAAAGCAAAATTATTCCAATAGAAAGCAGACTAGTAGTTGCCAGGGGTTGTGGGGGAAGGGAGGGAGGGGACTCACTGCAAAGGGATTCAAAGAATCTTTTGGGGGTGATGAACACATTCCAAACCATTACTTGGATTGTGGTAATCAACTATATACATTTTTTCAAAACTCACTGATTGGTACAGTGAAAGTTGCTGAATTTTATTTTCTGTTAAATACACCTCAATAAAAGTGACTAACATAAAAAAGAAAAACCAGAATTGCACTGTAGAGGGAGTCACATGGTGTGGTATGGAGAGAGAGAGAGGGAGGAGAAACAGAACTGCCCTCTGGAGGGAGCCCCACGGTAAGCTGTGCTCACCCACTGAGACGAGGTGGCTGTAGTTCTCTAGCATCACATCTCTGTACAGGGTCCTCTCGACAGGGCCCATGTGCTGCCACTCCTCCTGGGTGAACTCCACAGCCACGTCCTGGAATGACACTGATGCCTGTAACAGCGCATTTCTGATTAATCTGAGGGTTCAGAGTTAGGGAAAGGAAAATGTTTTCATTAACTAACTCATTATGTTTACTGTTGAGAATTTAAAATAAAATGGTATAAGGGATTCCTATCATGGCCCTGATTCTGCCTTATGCTTTTGAAATGCATAATTAGCAGCACAAATATTTGTTCTCATGTTCTTATTTGTATTTATTTTAAAATTAAACACATACATTGTCACTTAATATACTGAGGAAGCTTAGTGCCTTTTTAGGTAAAATTATTATGAATAGGATTCCTGTATACACTTCCCATATACCAACAGATCGTGCTGAGCACTCTGTGAAGCATGCATTCCAACCTAGAGGTCTCTGCTGGGGTAATGAGGAACCCATGGAGAGATACATATAACCTGAGAGGTTTCTACACAACCAGATTTATATTTCAGGAGCAATGCTCTAGAACGGGGTTTCTTTAGCTTGGTACTAATACTACTTACACAGTAGACCAGATAATGCTTTTTTGTGAAGAACTATCCTGAGCATTTTAGGATGTTTAGCAGTATCCCTGTCTTTTACCCATTAGATGCCAGAAGCAATCTGCAGTTGTGACAATCAAAAATATCTCCAAACACTGTCAAATGTCTTCTGGGGGACAAAATCACCCTCAGTTAGGCACCATTGTGCTATATGGAGAGTGGACTTAAGCAGCAAAACAAAAGGCCAAAATTAAGAGATGATCTATATTAAAGCAAAGCAACAGAGATAAATAAGGGGAATTAAATCTTTACAGGAATCAAAATCCGTTATTATCTCATGCAGCTGTACACAGAAATGTGGCATGATACATAACACAAAAAAGATTAAAAAGCCCAGAAAAAAGAATTTAAAAAATGAACGAAGTCTCCAAGAAATATGAAATTATGTAAAATGGCCAAACTTAAGGAGGTAGAAGACAAAAAGTCTGGAAAACTTATTTGAGGAAATAATTGAGGAAGACTTCACTGACCTGGCTAGATATTTACATATCCCAATCCAAGAATGCCAAAGAACTATTGGAAAATCCACTGCAAAAAGATCTTCACCAAAGCATATAGTCATCAGGCTGTCTAAAGTCAACGGGAAGGAAGGAATTCTAAGAGCACTAAGATAAAAGCATCAGGTAACCTGTAAAGGCAAACTTATTAGACTAACAGCAGACTTCTCAGCAGAAACCCTACAAACCACAGAGACTAGGGGTCCTATCTTGTACCTCCTTAAACAGAGTAACTGTCAGCCAAGAATTCTGTAGCAAGCAAAACTAAGTTTCATAAAATAAGGAGAAATAAAGTCATTTTCAGACAAACAAATGCTGAGGAAATTTGTTGCTACCAAACCAGCACTATAAGAAATGCTAAGACCTCTAAACCTTGAAACAAAAGTTCTTAAAAACAGAACCTCTTGAAGGCTTAAAACTCACAGGACCTATAAACCAGTAACTCAAGGGAAAAAAACAAACTAGGTAACAACATGATGAAGAGAATAGTACCTCACATCTCAACATTAACATTGAATATAAGTGGCCTAAATGGCAGAATAGATTTTTTAAAAAAGCTTGATAAACTCAAGGTAAGGAGTGGAAAAAAATATTCCATGTAAATGGAAACCAAAAGCAAGCAGGAGTAGGGCATCCAAATTGGAAAAGAAAAAGTCAAACTACTACTGTTTGCAGACGATATCATCGTAGAAAATCCAAGACTCCAAAAGACTCCTAGATTTGATAAATGAACTCAGCAGTCTCAAGGTACAAAATCAATGTAAAGACATCAGTAACAATGCTATACCAACAACCACCAGGCTGAGAACCAAATCAAGAACTCAATTTTACAACAGCCACAAAAACCAACCAACCAAACAAAAAAACCTAAGAATATACTTAACCAAGGAGGTGAAAGAACTCTACAAGCACTACAAAACGCTGATGAAAGAAATCACAGATGACACAAACAAATGCAACACAACCTATGCTCGTGGATTGGAAGAATCAATATTGTAAAAATAACCATTCTACCCAAAGCAATCTACAAATTCGATGCAATTCTCATCAAAATACCAACATCTTTTACAGAATTAGAAAAAAAAAAAAATCCTAAAATTCAAACAACAAAAAAGAGCCAAAATGGCCAAAGCAATCCTGAGCAAAACGAACAAATCTGGAGGCATCACAAGACTTCAATTATACTACAAGGCTGACTATAATTTCCAAAACAGTATGGTACTGGCATAAAGGCAGGCACATAGACCAATGGAACAGAATAGAGAACCCAGAAATAAAGCCAAATATGTACAGTCAACTGATCTTTGACAAAGCACACAAAAACATAAACAGGCGAATGGACACCCTATTTCAGCAATCCCAAACTTTTTTGGTACCAGGAACTGGTTTCCTGGAAGACAATTTTTCCACGGACCAGCAGCTGGAGGGGGGTGGTATGTGGATGGTTTCAAGATTAAACTGATTGACTTCAGATCATTAGTTAGATTCAGGCATTAGATTCTTTTAAGGAGCACACAACCTAGATCCCTTACATGTGCAGTTCACAATAGGGTTCCCTCTCCTATGAGAATCTGATGCCACTGATCTGACAGAAGGCAGAGCTCAGGTGGTCATGCTTACTAGCCTGCTGCTCACCTCCTGCTGTGCTGTTAGTTTCTTAACCGACAACAGACCACAGACGGTACCAGTCAGTGGCCTCACGGATTGGGGACCTCTGACCTATTTAATAAATGGTGCTGGTAAAAGTGGCAAGCCACATGTAGAAGAATGAAACCAGATCCCTATCTCTTACTTTACAGAAATATCAACTCAAGCAGGGCGCGGTGGCTCAAGCCTGTAATCCTAGCACTTTGGGAGGCCAAGGTGGGTGGATCACGAGGTCAAGAGATCGAGACCATCCTGGTCAACATAGTAAAACCCTGTCTCTACTAAAAATACAAAAAATTAGCTGGGCATGGTGGCATGTGCCTGTAATCCCAGCTACTCAGGAGGCTGAGGCAGGAGAATTGCCTGAGCCCAGGAGGCGGAGGTTGCGGTGAGCCAAGATTGCGCCATTGCACTCCAGCCTGGGTAACTAGAGCGAAACTCCGTCTCAAAAAAAAAAAAAAAAAAAAAAAAAAAAGAAATATCAACTCAAGATGGATCGACTTAAGTCTGTGACTTGAAACCATAGAAATTTTAAAAGACAACATTTGAAAAACTCTTCTAGACATCAGCCTAGGCAAGAATTCATGATTAAGACCCCAAAAGCAAACGCAAGTAAAACAAAAATAAATTAACTGGTCCTAATTAAACTAAAAAGCTTCTACACAGCAAAATAAATAATTACCAGAGTAAACAGCCAACCCACAGAATGGGAGAAAATATTTACAAACTAGGCATCTGAAAAAGTATCCAGAATTTACAAGGAACTCAAATCAGCTGGGAAAAAAAATCCCATCAAAAAGTGGGCAAAGGACATGAATTGACATTTCTCAAAAGAAGATATACAAATGTCCAAAAAAATATGAAAAAAATGCTCAGCATCACTAATCATCAGGGAAATGCAAATTAAAACCACAATGAGATACTACTTTACTCCTCCAAGAATGGCCTGTATTAAAAAGTCAAAACACAATAGATGTTCGCATGGATGTCAAGAAAAGGAATGCTTACACGATGCCGGTAAGAATGTAAATTAGGACAACCTCTATGGAAATAGTACGGAGACTCCTTAAGGAACTAAAAGTAGATCTACCACTTGATCGCGAGCAATCCCACTACTGGGTATCTACCCAAAGGAAAAGAACTCATTATAAATGAAAAACAAACCAGCACACATGTTTGTAGCAACATAGTTCACAATTGCAAAGATGTGGAACCAACCTAAGTGCCTATCAACTGAGTGAAGAAAGAAAATGTGGCACCTATACACCATGGAATACTACTCAGCCATAAAAAGGAACGGAATAATGTCTTTTGCAGCAACTTGGATGGAGCTGGACGCTGCTATTCTAAGTAACACAGGAGTAGAAAACCAAACTGTATATTCTCACTTATAAGTGGGAGCCAAGATATGAGTATGCAAAGGCATACAGAGTGACATAATGGACTTTAGGGACCAAGAAACGGGAAGGCGGGAGGCTAGGGAAAGGTGCTCGGGATAAAAAACTACCTATTAAGTAAAATGTACATTACTTGCTGGGCCATAGGTGCACTAAAATATCAGAATTCACCACTATATAATTCATCCGTGTAACAAGAAACCACTTGTACCCCAAAAGCTGTTGAAACAAAACATTTTAAAGAAATGTTTTTAAGTATAAAGGAAAGACAGCATTTATTAGGATTATTTAGTCTTGCTGTTTCATTTTAGTTAAGGCCTGTCTTGACTTAGACCCTGGGATAGTAAAATATATGTAATAAAATGTAAAAGTAAAATGTTCCGATTCTCAGTTGAAAATTTCAAATACATTTTACGTTAAAATTGAAAGTCTTTCTAGTTTTAATAAACAAATATTATGAACTTCTGCATCTTAATAAATATATCTAAGTAAAGTGCTAAGTAAGTAGGCAAGTTGCAGCTTCAGTGTTAAAGTATATTAGCACTAGGATGGTAAAATTGTATGAAAATTATAATAAATGTTATAATTTGTATGTGCAAGGTGGTTTTTAAAATATCTTAATATCTCATTTTTTCTTTTGGTTTATATCTTGTCTCTGTACATTTATAGCTTAATGTATATTGAGAAAGAAAACTCTTGTTTGATAATGGTTAACCAACAATAAACATTTACTAAATCTAAAAAAAAAAATAAAAAATAAAAAAAGTAAATGATTACAATTTTCTATGAAAACGTAATGACAAAAATTATACTGAGAAAGTACAAATCCAGTATACACTCACAATAAGAAGCTGATTAACGAACTAATAAATTTATTTAGTAATCAAAATCTTCACACAAAAAGTCTTTGCAAGGTCCAGATTCATAGGTGAGTTTCACAAAATTTACATACAACAGTTTTCTCACTTTTCTAAATTACTGGAAAAGAAGAAACAAGAAAAAAGTGCCCCATTTCCTTTCATGAGACAACCATGATACCATAATTGAACAGGGAACAGGAAAGTATAGTTTAATCCAATTTGTGAATACAGAAATAAAAATCCTAAATTATTACCAAAAAAGTGCTAGGAAAACATGTAAGAAGCAACACTCATAAGAAACTACGGTCTATACAGGAATTCAAGTTACTTTTATAAAATCCATTACATTATTCACAACATTTATAGATTAAAGGGCACAGCTATAGATTTGTTCTAACAGATATACAAAAAGTATTTAACATAATTCAATGTGCATTCATGACTAACACGAAATCTTGGCAAACTGGTAACTGGAGGGAACCTACCGACCCTGACAAAGGTTATTTATCAAAAGCTGACAGCAAACAACGGAGTTCATAGTAAAACTCCATATATTTTCCCTCAAGATTTACTTGATCTGTTTCTCCTTTTCCATTTAATGCAAGGACCCATCTAACCCTCACAAATCCATTACGATAGAAAGTGGGGAAGGAATAAAGAGCTCACCTGAAATGTGTTCATTTTCTGTGGCTCTTGGAGAGTGTAGAGAACTGTGAAGCCTCAGCTGCGGGGACAGAAAGAGGAAGTCACACAGTCTGGCCTACATCACAGCTCCCAGGTTCAATTCCCCAAATCTAAGCAATCCAGTTGGGGAGCAAGATGCCGAAGGTAACGGCCCTTCAGGCCTTGAGAAGGCAGGGAAGCACCACTTACAGGTGGCACTGTCTCTATGACAACCCCGAAATAATCATGGGGCTTAAACTGCTATTTTTTTATTGCGTGAACATGAACTTTTCCCAATTAACAATAATGCACATGTGCTTCTAATGCACACAAAGAAATAAAGACAAAGAGAAAAAAAGAAAAAAAGAGAAAAAGAGAAAAAGAAAGAAAAAAGAGAAAACAACAACAACGACAAAAGAAACAAAGACAAGAGAGGATTCGTTGAATTAAAGTACGCCACAGGATAAGACACTATTCTTTCATTAAAATCAACTTAGCAGGCACCATGGTTCACACCTGTAACCCCAGCACTTTGGGAGGCCGGAGGAGGAGGAGGGCTTGAGCTCTGGTGTTGAAGACCAATCTGGGCAACACGGTATTGAACCTGTCTCTACAGAAAATAGAAACTTAAAAAAAAAAAAAAAAATTAGCCAGGTGTGGTGGCATGCGCCTGTGGTCCCGGCTACATGGAAGGCAGAGGCAGGAGGATCACTTGAGCCCAGGAGGCAGAGGCTGCAGTGATCCTTGTTTATGCCACTGCACTCTTGCTTGGACAATAGGATAAGACCAAAACACAAAATAAGCAAAAAAAAAAAAAAAAAAAAAATTCGTTGTGCATCATTTAACTATTTTTCTTACTAATACTGTTTACCCTTGGTACAGACAATCCACAGAAAGTCTTGTAAAAAGAGATGAGATGCTTTAAGACAGTTTTAGTCGTTTTAACTGGGATGCATTTCTCAAAAGGCCTTTGGATAAGATGCTTTTGGTGACTCACACGTGGAAGAATGAACGAACCTGTTATTTTCTCCTGGCTCTGCCCAGTGAGGGGTCCCTGGAAACTCACTGAACCTTTCATGCCCAATGTCTTTAAAGCTTTCAGAAGAGTCAGAAGTAAATAACCACGGAAAACCCTTCATGTATCATCATGCTGGGATTCTACGAGGTAGGGACAAAGTCTCCAGTGTCACATGTGTTAACAGCAGTGTGCATGTGTAAAAAGTGGAGAACAAAGGGACTGGAGGCTATTTTGGGATCTGAGAACACAATCTCCGGTCACCCCTAACCCCAGACCTCCCCTCACAAACTCTGCAATGATGTGGCCTTACCTGAGCAGCCTGTCCCTAACCCCCATGCAGCTCACTCAAAGCTGGCCTAAACCACCCACTGTCACGCAGTCTGTGGTGGCTTCTGGAGGCTCCACCACAAAGTGTGGCTCATTCTGGGAAGAAGGATCAAGAACAGCATGCTTCTGACCATACAAATCTAGGATCTGCTCCTTTGTGGGCTCTTCTGCCTCTGCTCTGAAGCTCGGGAGAGGGGTCTAGGTCTGAGAGGTGTTTTCCTCCAGGTAAAACTGTTCACAGAGGCCCCTGCTTCCCACTTAGCAAGGGCTATTTGTTCAAGGAATCAGCGACCTGACTTGAGAAACCATTTCAGTGGCAAAAACCTGACTCTCAGAATTCATTATATCAGACTTTAAAGAGAGACACCCCGACAGTGCAGAAGGGGCCAGGAATCTTGTCTGATCCAAGAGATCTGAAGACACGCCAGAAATTCAGAACACATTTGACACATTTAGGTAAGATTCCATCTACACCCACTCCCTGAATATTTGGGGACATGCCACTCTGCTAAGTGCAGTGCAGGCTGCAACACTGGTTTCAGGCAGGTGTGATAATTAGCGCCTGAAACGGGAAATAAATCACACCTGCCCTTGAACCCCGGCTCCCTCACTGCTGGCTTGTGACCTAAGCCTCAGTTGTTATATTTAATGCAGATGTGGTTGTGAGGTTTACATAAGGCACCCAGTGAACAGAAGAAAGTGTTTTCTAAACATAACAGCGGCAGTCGCTCACGGCTTAACAGCCTACAGTCGGCCGTCTGCTTTACAGGCGGCGACTTAAGTTTTAAACCCACGCCATGAAGCATTCATAATGAATACTCTCATTTTCAGACGAGAAACCTGACTCTCACCCAGGTTCCTGCATTCGCCTCGGCTTCCAGTTGACAGAGCTGGTACGTACCCGGGTTTTTCCAGCTCCGGAGCTCAAGGTCCCGACACAGACCCACGGTCCGGGGATTTCGGGCACGTTGCCGCCCGCGCCAGGCTCCCGTCCCGCACACCGCGGCCAACACCGCGCACCTGCTCCAGACCCGCGCTCAGCCCCGGCCGCCCCGGAGCCCGCGGCCGGAGTCCCTCTCCACCGGCCTTCCCGGCCGAGGGCCCACCGGGTCGCATCTACTGGCGCTGGGGGCAGGGATCCCACAAACTTCCCGATTCCTCTCCCGCTCCCGGGCACCAACGCTGCCCTCCCGGTTGGTCCCACGCTCCCGCCCCAGCTGCGCCCCCTCGACTTTCCGAGCAGACGCCGGAGCTTCCCAAACCGCTTCCCCGTAGTCCCGAGAACCCAAATGAGGAGGCGGGGCTCCGGCTGCACAGGCGCAGAAGTGGCCCGATGGCCCCATCCCAGAGTGCTGAGCGGCTAACAAACTCATTCAGGACTACATTTCCCATAAGCCCGTGTGGTCACTTTCGACATAACTCCGCGTTTCGGCGATTCCGGACTGGCAAGGATGGAGCTTTTGGAGTCTGCTTCTCAGGCTCTGTAAGAGCACGAAGAAGTTAAAGGTTAAACTTGAACGCTACTGACAACTATAAAGAGTAGCCCTCCACTGGTTCCCGGTTGAACCAGCATTTTTTTTCATAACTTTTCAGAGACAACTGGAAAGTTGAATGTGGACTGGGAATTGCAAATACTGAAAAAAAAGTAACATTGCTTTTGTGAACTGAAAAAACAAAAAGAACTTTGTAGAAAAATTGATTTTTTAAAAAAGGAATTACTACTGTAGTATTAGTGTTTTTATACAAGAAAAATAAAGTGAATTAACCCTGGTGCGGGGGGGAAGAAATGGCATAACTTTAAATTTACTTTATAATTTAAAATTATACTTTAAAATTATAAAGTAAATTATATATTTTATATATGATATATAATATATATCATATATAATATATGATATACATTATACATTATATATCATGATATATGATATATAATGTATATTATATATTTTATATATGATATATAATATATATCATATACATTATATCATATATATCATATATATAATATATATTTTATATATCATATATAATATATATTATATATCATATATAATATATAATATATATAATATATGATATATATTATATATTTTATATATAATATATATTTTATATATTTTATATGTATATATAATATATATATATCACAGTTTCTTTATCTTCTTGTTGATTGATGGGTATTTGGGTTGGCTCCACGTTTTTGCAATTGCAAACTGTGTTGCAATAAACATGCATGTACAAGTATCTTTTTCATATAATGACTTCTTTTCCTCTGGATAGATACCCAGTAGTGGGATTGCTGGATCATATGGTAGTTCTACTTTTAGTTCTTTAAGGAACCTCCACAGTTTTCCATAGTGGTTGTACTAGTTTACATTCCCACCAGAAGTATAGAAGTTTTTTCTGTTGACCGCAGCCATGCCAACATCTACTATTTTTTTTATTATGGCCATTCTTGCAGGAGTAAGGTGGTTTTGATTTGGCTCTCTGTAAATCATTAGTGATGTTGAGCATTTTTCATGTTTGTTGGCCATTTGTATATCTTTTTTTTAGAATTGTTTATTCATGTCCTTACTGGACTTTTTGATGGGATTGTTTGTTTTTTTTTCTTTGATGGGGTTGATTTGAGTTCATTGTAGGTTCTGGAAATTAGTCCTTTGTCATATACATAGACTGTGAAGATTTTCTCCCACTCTCTGCGGGTTGTCTGTTTACTCTGCTGACTGTTACATTTGCGGTACAAAAGTTATCTAGTTTAACTTAGTTCCAGCTATTTATCTTTGTTTTTTTGTTTTCTTTTGTTTTTGAGATGGAGTCTTGCTCTGTTGCCCAGGCTGGAGTGCAGTGGCACAATCTCAGCTCACTGCAACCTCTGCCTCCCCGGTTCAAGCTATTCTCCTGCCTCAGCCTTCTGAGTAGCTGAGATTACAGGCACATGCCACCACGCCTGGCTAATTTTTGGATTTTTAGTAGAGAAAAGGTTTCACCATGTTGAGGAGGTTCATCTCGAACTCCTGAACTCATGATCCACCAGCCTCTGCCTCCCAAAGTGCTGGGATTACAGGTGTGAGCCACTACACCTGGCCTTATCTTTGTTTTTATTGCATTTGCTTTTGGAATCTTGGTCGTGAAACCCTTACCTAAGCCAATGTCTAGAAGGGTTTTTTTCAATGTTACCTTCTAGAATTTTTATAGTTTCAGGTCTTAGAATTAACTCCTTAATCCATCTCGAGTTGATTTTTGTATGAGGTAAGAGATGACGATCCAGTTTCATTCTCCTAGATGTGGCTAGCCAATTATCCCAGCACCATTTGTTGAAAAGGGTATCCTTTTCCCACTTTATGTTTTTGTTTGCTTTGCTAAAGGTCAGTTAGCTTTAAGTATTTGCGTTTATTTCTGGGTTCTCTGTTCTGTTCCATTGGTCTATGTGCCTATTTTTATACCAGTAGCATGCTGTTTTGATGACTGTGACCTTATAGTATAGTTTGAAATCAGGTAATGTGGTACTTCCAGATTTGTTCTTTTTGCTTAGTCTTGCTTTGGCTATGTGGGCTATTATTTGGTTTCATATGAATTTTAGAATTGTTTTGTCTAATTCTGTGAAGAATGATGGTGGTATTTTGATGGGAATTGCATTGAATCTGTAGATTGCTTTTGGCAGTGTGATCATATTCATAATATCAATTCTATGCATCCACGAGCATGGGGTGTGTTTCCATTTATTTGTGTCATCTATGATTCCTTTAAGCAATGTTTTATAGTTCCCAACAGCATATCAAAAAGATAATCCATGATGATTAAGTGAATTTCATACCAGGAATGCAGGGATGGTTTAACATACACAAGTCAATAAATGTGATTGATACACCACATAAATGGAATTAAAAATAAAAATTACATGATCATCTCAATAGACACTGGAAAAGCATTTGACAAAATCCGACATCCTTTTATTATTAAAACCCTCAGCAAGATCTGCATACAAGGGACATAATTCAATGTAATAAAAGCCATCTATGACAGACCCACAGCCAACATAATACTGAATTAGGGAAAAGTTGAAAGCCTTCCCCCTGAGAACTGGAACAAGACAAGGATGCCCACCCTTACCACTTCTATTCAACATAGTACTGAAAGTCCTAGCCACAGCAGTCGGACAAGAAAAAGAAATAAAGGGCATACAGATTGGTAAAGAGGAAGTCAAACTGTCACTGTTTACTGATGATATGACCATATACCTAGAAAATGGTACAGACTCCCCCAAAAAGCTCCCAGAACTGATAAATGAATTCGGCAAAGTTTCAAGATACAAAATTAATGTAGACACATCAGGAGCTCTGCTATATACCAACAGCGATCAAGCTGAGAATCAATATGTTTTTTTGCAATAGCTGCAAAAAATAAAATAAAACAAAATACTTAGGAATATACCTAACCAAGGAGGTGGAAGACCTCTACAAGGAAAATAACTTTCATATTTTTAATGAGTTAAAATGAGAGGCAGGAGGTACAGTGGAAGAAATCAGTTGGTGGGCACTGGCATCCAACAGGTCCTGGACCTTTGATAGTAAGGCTTTGGTTTTGACTTACTAAATTAGTAGGTATGATTATTTTCTAGTTTTTGTTATTAAACCTTAAGACTGTTAAGTAATCCCTTCCCTTTCTTGTTAAAGATCGTAAAATTTCATACTCTGTTATCTATGCTGACTGAAGTTAGAGTATTTGTTTCTATTTTGTGATTACCTTAAATAATATCTATAAACAGTAAACTGTTAGTAGTGTTTTTGCTGTAATTAAACGTAGTAAGAATTATCTTCCAAATTATAAGTGAATTAATTTGTCAAACCCTTGTTGAACTTTTTGATTTATCCAAAATTCTATGCTCAGCAGCTGGAGGTAGGAAGAGTGAGGGCCCTCCCTTCCATGGAGAGGCATACTTTCTCAAAAGGGGAATACTCTGCAACAATTAGTGTCATGTGACAAGGGGTGGATTTGACCAAATAGTATACAAAAAAAAAAAAAAAAAAAACAAAACATTTTTTGGTGTGGCTGCCGGCAAAGAGATTCAAGAGGGTAGACATAGTCAAGTTTGTTGGAATAAGGAAAGAGAAAAGAAGTATTCTAGGCAGAGAGCAGGAGCGTAGCAGGAAAATGCTGAGGTGCAGGTCAAATGATTATAGAATAAAATTAATCAACATTTGAAATGAATGGAAAGTATTCTCTGAGTGTCTCACTTCAGTAATGCCACGGCAGTCTGACTCCTTTTGTTCTCCATATAAGAAAACAGGACTAGGCCGGGCGCGGTGGCTCAAGCCTGTAATCCCAGCACTTTGGGAGGCCAAGGCGGGTGGATAACGAGGTCAAGAGATTGAGACCATCCTGGTCAACATGGTGAAACCCCGTCTCTACTAAAAATACAAAAAAAATTAGCTGAGCATGGTGGTGCGTGCCTGTAATCCCAGCTACTCAAGAGGCTGAGGCAGGAGAATTGCCTGAACCCAGGAGGCGGAAGTTGCGGTGAGCCGAGATCGCGCCATTGCACTCCAGCCTGGGTAATAAGAGCGAAACTCTGTCTCAAAAAAAAAAAAAAAAAAAAAAGAAAAAGAAAAAGAAAAAAACAGGACTAGAGAAATCTGTGGCTTCCTCACTTGTTGGTGGCCTAGCAGCCCTGGCACATAGAGCCTCTGAATCTAAAACACTTGTTTTGTCACAGTATCTCCTGAAATAATACATTTAGGATTAGTAACTTAGTAAATGCCCTAGTCATGTATTCATTGAAATAAAATGATTTTGTACCAATATTATTTAATGCATTACTTTTTTTTTTTTTTTTTTTTTGAGATAGAGTCTTGCTTTGTCGCCCAGGCTGGAGTGCAGTGGCACGATCTTGGCTCACTGCAACATCCACCTCTTGGGTTCAAGGTATTCTCCTGCCTCAGCCTCCCGAGTAGCTGGGACTATAG